GTATGTTCTTGGTGCAGTTGTGCACTCTCTGATCCCTACGGCTTGTTGTGGGCTGCTCTGTCATGTTAAAAACTTTAACTTTGCTTCAGCATCCTAATAACTCATGATTTTGGGCATATGCATCTGCAGGGATCAGAAGGTTTGTGACACTAGACCTACTACCTGACACTTGCCCTAGCATGAGGCAAAAAATGTTTGATGGAGCTGCTGAAATTTTGGCACATATAGTCAGTCTTTGCTAAATGCATAGTTAGCAAAGCATCCTTAAATAGAGATATTGACATACCTTTATTTTGTAGTAAAGCATTTGTCAGCATTTGTTTGTAATGGTACCTGAAGATATTTGAGCAGATGTTTGTAGACTTATACTGACATTTTAGCTGTGTATTCCTGCTTGAATGCTATTAACTCCTGGGTAGAAATACAAACATTTTACAAGAGGTAACTGTCATAAAAAAGGAGGTGGTAGCATAAATCACAGCATTTGCTTGCATATTCCAAATTGTGGAATCCTTTTACTGGATTCTATCTGAGCACATAAATTTAGACTGATTAAGCAGGATTCAAAAGAAATCTGCATTTCAGCAACTGCAGAATATGTATCCTTTGCTTTTCGGCAAATCCATTTGCAGCTCTGCAGTTGTAATAGTCATTTGTGCATTGTGCGACGTCACAGGGCCCTTGCCTTGTCCACCGTAATCGTGACATTCCAATCGCAGTACTTGCATGTCTTGCGTGAGGCTATCCAAGAGGTGGAAGGAATTTATCACCATTTATTTTTTCAGATAAGAATGTGTCTAAGCTAAAGACAAAAGCTCCAGAAGCTTCAACAGCCTGTCTCATGAATTATTGTTTAGGAAAGATATTGATATCATCTTTCTATAATCGTTTCTGTCAGCACTGAAATCCTGATGAACGTGCACTGGAGGTATAGAAAAAGGAAACAGATTTTTTTTTCTTGTTTATAGGTTATATAGGGGAAATATTTATTTGCCGTAGAAACTGATTGTCTTGACAGGTATGTGGGAAATTTTTGGAGTATACAACCTTGTTACTAGATGTAATGTTACTAGAACATGGTTGGTCACAGCTGAGCATCTGACAGTAAGGTAATTCAGAATTCCATTCTTCAAGATTCAAATTTCCGCAGACAAATCCTTGGTCTGTAATGATTGTAAAGACTGATCAAGAAGCTAGTTGAAGGCCAGTGTTCCTTTAATTCTATATGCAAAGGTACTTGATAACTTCATTGCCTTAATGTGGTGTTACTTCAAATACTTAAAGCACTTTGAACATTATCATTACTATTCTTCAGTGAAGACAAAATTTGTTTTAACATTCAGGAGAAATGAACTCTGGTATTGCACTCAATTTCTTTATAAAACACATTTTTTTTTTGTTTGATATTTTCTTGCTGATAGTGAAAATGCCGCTTTATTTTTGAAAGTCATCCAAAACTTTTGATATCAGCAATTATTGAAATATTTGGCATTGTGCTGAACTTCAGTATTCCTATTAAAGAGACTTAGCTGAGAATAAAACTTTACTAGGCAAATAACGTTTATATGTGAAAGTAAATACTGTGCTGCACTAAGCTAAACCTCAAATAAAGTCAATATTTATGACCTTTCAAAACGCCAACTTGTGTAGCCTTGTTTCTCCCAAGTGCTTTTTTGCATTTAACCATACTTGCCAAATACATTCAGACAATAATGTATTTAAAACGAGGGTGCATTGTAATACTAGATTTGATCGTTAAGTACCATCAAGGAACAGATGGCAGGAGAGGACACAACTGGTTTGCAGCCTGCATAGATTTAAGCATGAAGCCATTAAGCTATCACATTCCTATTTTTGATAGATTTTGGTCAGTGAAAAATTAGACACGTAATCCCTGATTATGAGAGCTCTCAATCTGTAACTCACTGATAACATTTTGGAATCACTGAAGTTCTCTGTATATTCAGTAGTCTTTATACTAATGCCCTGTTGGGGTAGAAGCTTTTATCTGTTTTTGTTGCTATTGAAATTAATGTATCTTGTCATAAGTAGGTTGCTCTTAAATGTAAAATTGCTTAAGGCTATCTTTTACTGCTCTGCTTCCTATTGACTTCTAGACAGATTTGCCCTATTTTTTGCTAGGCTATTCACTAGTTTCTCTACCTAATAAAAGGAGGAATTCAGAGTTCTAATATGCGTTGGCTTGAAAATATCTGTAGTGTAACTAGTGCAGTAGCCACTAGAATCTGGTATTTTTATTTACCAAGATTTGTGTTTGGTGGTTTATCTTCTGTTCTTAAGCTTGAAAGGTGGCGTTATAGAACTTTAGTTATTTTCTTGCACTTGTGAAAGTTGTTTGTATTCCCAGCATGTTTTTAGCATGTTAGTGGTATCAGATCAAGTGTATTTTGATAAGCAGGATTTCTTACTATGAATAAGTATATAATTGTTATAACTTATTTTTGTGGATAAGAAAAGCAAATTACATACATTGGTATGATGATTTATTAAAAACTAATAGATTAGCTGCAACATTTAAAAAAAAAAAAAAAAAAAAAAAGGTGTTGAAGAAGGTATGGTATGAAGAACTTCTGTCCTAAGCAATCTTGAGCTCGTTGCCTATGTTTTTCTTCCTCTCACATATATCTTTGTTTTTTGCTGTTGTTCAGGATTTTTTTTTTCTTCTTCATTTCTCATTTGCAATATTGGGATAGTAAATGTTTGTCTGAAATGTGGAGATTAATGTCTATACTGTTACATAGTGCTAGACATAGTGCTGTACAAACACTATTTTTTTTGTTTTTACAAGATCTTCCTGAAGTTTTTCATGCAGCTTTGAAGTGAGCTTTTGACATATGTGTTTTTAATTCTTGTGGTTATACACTCATTTTGGTTGATCCTAAATAAAGAGCTGTTATGATAAACTCTTTTTTTTGAATGATGGTAAGGGAGATTCACATGAAACATACAGGTGTAGAAATGGTGTTGAAGATAATCTGGAGATAATCTAATAGTCATTAAGATTGAAGGTGAAGATTAAGGGTCCAAACCAACCTTTTGGAGATACAAATGCAAAAATAGGAGACTCTGCCCTTCATGCTCTCAGGTCAGCAGGTTTTATCATGGATATTTATTAAAAATATATATAATATATATTTAATGTATTTATATGAATTCAGGCTGGAAAGGATTTCAAGGTTCTGCATATTTGTAAAGTGTAATAATTTTTAGTCCATTTAGTTACTTTTGCAGCTAAAGATTGACTTTCCTAATTTATAGAATCAAGGTCATATCTAAATCACCTGGTGTTGACTATTCTGTAGCATACTTTAGTTGTTCATAAGACTTTAAGAAATGCGGTGATTAGCATTTAGGAAAGAAGCAAGTTATTCACAGAAGAATGTGCCGTAATTTTCCTAGATTCATGTTCATAGATGTAAGGAAGGAAAATGCTATTCATGCTGCTTTCCTTTTAAAAATGACTGTCTTATGGGTGCACCTTAAATACCATCTTGCTTCCTTTCTCAGCTGTGTTTTTTTATATTATTTCCACTCGTGCTCCCAAATACTGGAATCTTAATAGCATAAAAAACAAACAAAAGGGGAAAAAAAACCCTTTATTTTTCGTAAAAATGCTAAAAAGACACCACTGTAAAAGGCAGATTAAAAATATTCATTGAAGTAACTAAGTTATGTAAACTGGCCTATCATCACACCTATACAGAGAGAATTCCATGCTACCAAAATAAAGTAGCAAGTTGCCTCAAAATAAATCATGATAACATTATGTTCAAGGCAATAAAAGTTATAGTCGGTCTCCCCTTTGGGAAGGGCTGGGTTGTTTGTATTTAAATACCACAACTATAAAGAGTCTGTATACAGAAATGCATCAATCCCATGTCTATCAGTATTCTTGCATATGTGTATCAGGCATAATAATAATGTACTGTACGTGTACTTAAGATGATGAGTGTGTAAGTAGTGGTTTGCTTTGTATTTGTCATCGTTGCTGTGGGGTGGACCAACAGGTGTTCAGGGAAGATCGATCTTCTGTGTGTCCAGTCGTGTATTAGAAGTAATCATATAAAAATATATTCTGGGTTAAGCTTTTATATTAAAAAAAATAAGGGAGTTGAGTGTAAGGGGATATCTTGATTTATGATTTGAAATATCTGAGTAATTAAGTCATACTTGTAAGTGGATGATAAAGTTTAATCAGCTTTTCTTCAGTCTTGGCACAGTTTTATTATGAAGAGATGCAGATTTGAGCCAAAGAGGGAAAAAATGTAACTATCCCTTGAGTTGTCTTCGTAGTTCATATAAGCAGGAGCATGTTTCTATTTAAGATCAGGGTGTTAACTTCCAATGTCTTTATCAATTTCTATGAAATACAAACATAACTTTTTAATGTATGTGTAACACTAATGCTGTGACAGACCCTTATATAAGTTTTTTTTTTTTTTTTTAGCTGTAAATATTAAAATAAATGCTTTATACGTAACACTTGTAGTTGTGTATTTTCAGTGATGCAAAAATGATTATCAATATGTACAGTGTGTGTTGGAATATTTATATTCATGTTCAGATTTTTGTATTTGTTTGGAAATGAGGCTGCTTATAAAGATGTGTAGAGCTGTTTTCAGCTACTGCAACTTTCTTCTCATATCCAAACTCCTTTATATCTGACAGATATTACCAGTTATGTATTGCAACATTAGATAAAAAGTGTGCTAACCTGCCTAGCTGCATCAGAAATGGGTGTTTCAGTTAATTTTTCCCTGCCTCTGGCAGTCATTTCCATAATTCCTTATTTGTTTGGCGGGTGGGGAAAGGCATAGTAACCAAGACAAGAAATTGTTATGCTGGCACATTAACTCTATCATTTGTTTTAGAAAAACAGGCATTGTTATGCTGGCACATTAACTCTATCATTTGTTTTAGAGATAGATTTAAAGATTAGTTTTCAGAGTATTTAATTTATTTTAATTTAATTCTTGCAGCAATCCAAAGTCTGCCAGCCAGAGAATAAACAAAAAAGTCAATAATGATGCATCCCTAAGGATTCAAAATTTGTCAATTCTGGTGAAACAAATAAAAACTTACTATCAGGTAAGTAATTGTTTCTTGGCTGTTATCTAGAATTGTTTTGAAGAATTATTTTACAATTACAGCTTTAAAGATAACAAATATGAGTATTTTGCTATACCTATATGGATTCATGTTTGTTTATATGCATGGACAAATTTTTTGTTTACATAATTATTTCACAGCTGAAAGAAAACCTCCAGAAACACATTCTGAATGGAAGTCTGTATATATAATATTCTGCTTTTTAATTGTGCATGTAGAACACAAAATAGTGTGTATTGGTGTTTTATGAATTGAGACACGTTTTGTGTATATAAGAAATCATTACTCGTCCATTTAGTTTAAATACTTAATCTTTGCAAGAAAAATGGGTGAAGTTTACTGTTATTCCAGTAAGCGTAATCAAAATTTCCAGCCCTCACTATCTTGAGCATGTGCCACAAGAGAGGATTCTCCACACTGAATAACTGTGAGTAACCATGTCTTCAACCAGTGCTGATCTGCCCTTATGCTCTTCCCCTGAGGGTCAAAAAGTTGCATGCACAGTGGAGTAGTAGAGCAGCAATTCCTCGGTCACTCTCCTTGTCTTCTGATATCATTCATTTCTCTCCCAGTCTCTTCTCATATCCCATTCATAAACTCCAAGGGCAGGGTGCAAGCAATCCAGATATGCCTGGCATCCAGTCGTATTAAGGACAGGAGCAGCAGCAGCAGCAGTCAGTCACTATACAACTTGCTAGCTGACACTTTGTGCATTTGCAAACTTTGTGTCGCTTTTACCTTGGCAGCTACTGCTTGTGGGTGTAAGAGGTATCTGCCAAGACCCAAATGCTTTTCCTCTTGTGCCCTGAGGCTAGTTGTTCCTGAACAGGTACTTGTGTTTCACAGGAACTGGTGTGACGGGAAGCTCAAACACTGACAAGAGTAGTCTTGATTTGAATCCACAATGTTCCCTGTGCTTCTCTGACCTTATGGTATCAGCCAGTACTACTGCAATAATATCATATAGAGTACCTCACAAATAGGTAATTTTGAATCTTGCTTGAAGTCTTTGTTTAGAAACAAGACAGTGGGAAGTGTAACACTTGATAAATTCTGTGCACCATAAATCCCTTTGCTGACTATTCCAGTGATGGTGCTGCTGAGAAAGCTGGCCTGTCTGCTCTTTCCTTCTTGTACAAACATATCTAAAGGTTACATATGGTGGCTTTTTTGATTATAGTTCTGAGCAGAAGTGGGAAAGAAGCTACCTCACACAGAGATTCGCTGCAAAGATGTCTCTGATTTTGTTGCTTGTCAGAGAAATCAAGTTCCATTTTTCTCACAGATGTCCTCAGAATTAGTGCATTCCAGTATGTGTTGGATTGCTGCAGGAGCTAAAAAAAAAAAAAAAAAAAATCTGGGGATAGTTTTGTAATGAATTTAGCATTTCACGTGGCTGACTAATGTGCTCCTAGTCTCTGTTCTCCCCATCATTCTGTTATTTCAATTGGGAATCCAGAAAAAATCTTTTTATAGTCAGGAATGTCTCTGTTCTGGGATCTGCTGAATTCATGTTTGCTTGGAGTGTGTGTGCCCAATTGGCTTGGGCCCTTGAAATGAACGTGGCCCCTGTGACAGAAGTAGTGAAGTCTGCTAGTGTGTCTGGCAGTGTCTCTATCAAAGCATATTTTCAGAGGCAGAAGGGATTCTGTTTTCTTGGAAGTTGTGGTTTTTGAGGTGCAAATATTCTTGTCTTTGGGCTGTGCTTAATTCGAAGAACTTCCAAGAGCTGCACTGGGAGCCTCTTATCTTACTGTTACCAGTCTTTAGCCCTGCTGTTGTCTCTGTGACAGGCAGCTTAGCCTGGACCTCTGCTGACTGGGTTGAGAGTGTGCTTGGAGAGAAGGAATTCTGAGTACCAATATGAGCATTAACTTGGGCATTAAGCCTCTGGACAGATGAGTTCCTTGCTCTGCCTTGTAAGGGTTGATAATAAACAAACAGAAACAACTCCTAGCTTGGTAGCCTTGTATGCTTAATGTTTGTGACAGTTATGCAGTAGCGCTGTGTCACGTAGCATGTGGTTCTGGAGCCCACGTGGGGCAGCTGTCACAGGGAAAGTGCTAAACGGAGGCACAGAGCGGGTTGTGTGGAGGTGGCCATAGAGCTTCACCAGGTCTGAGGGGCTCAGGAAATACAGCAGCAAGCTCGTGCTCTACGCAGCGTGCAAGGTCCTCCTTACACCTGCAGGGTGAGGCTTTTGGTTATGGTTTCTGATATTTTCTCTCTGGACTGACAAATTTAATAGACAGTTGAAATCAGTTGTTACATACATCGTAACATAGATTCTAACAGACAGTGAGAGGAATTATTACGTGCATTTATTGCAGTTGTACATCTCTGCTTAAGACTTTAGTGTTTAAAGGTCAAACAGCAGGAAGAGAAAACAGCAGCTCCGAACTAAGAGGAAAAACCCCAGCAATTCTTCTGGTTGTGTATGTGCGCTTGCATATTCAGACAACCATAGCTTGATTTCTTGGATTTTGCAAAATTGGAAAATCAAAGCTGACCCTGAATTTCTTTTATCTTGGAAAAATTTTCTTGAGAAGAGACTGTACATAGTGTTTTTAACTTGTATGAAATTAATGTTAATAGTTCAGAAGATGATAGTTTTCTTTTGACTCTATTTCAGTAAAAAATGGTAATAACCTTTTTGCAAAGCCAAATTCTTACCTCTTGTTAATGATTTCTTGGTACATGTTGCTCTGCACAAATGCTAATTGTGATAATCTGCCAGTATTTCACTTTGCATGATGTATTTTGTCATTCTATATCTTCTGAATTACCCCCTTCTAGCTGAAACTGCATTCTTTGTTTCTGTCCCAAGTTCTTACTTGGTGTTACTGTGTGTTTTATTTGCTTTTATAGTCAGGTGACAGCACTTCTGAGTGGTCTGTTTCTTGAATGTACTCCAGAAAAGCCAATAGGTATAACAGATTGCCATGGTGGTTGATAGGTTTTTCTGATATAAAAAGAAAAATATATATATAAAGAAAAAAAAATCTCATTCTCTTCAATTTTCCTTTTGTTTTTGAAGATGTTTTATGTTTATCGAAGTGCTTAAAGTTATTGTTCACTCTAAGTATCACTTGAAACTATAACACTCTCAAGTTTCAGAGGGTTCTCTAAGTAATGGATGGAAAGCAATTTAACCTTTGCCTCTGGGCATGGAAAGGGGGCAGTGAGGACCAGCAGAACTCTTTGCATTATCCCCCTTCATTAGTCCCATGTTCTATGATTGCTCAAACAATTATAGAATAATAGAATATTTTACTCCAGAGTTACCACGTTTTATTTTGAAGTGTTCAAGAACAGATTACTTTAAAGAGCTTGAAGGATGATAATTTGTTTTCCAGCTTAAAAATGAAAATGTAAGATAAGTAGGCTTGAGAGGACTGAATTTAACAGTCATTGGAGGCTGAAATTGAGAGGGCAAAGTGTAAGGGATTCAATCATTTATATTATCTAAATATAACAGTGCTAAAGTTACCTGCATCTCTTGGGGGTGGGGGGCAAAAGAAGATAGGGATTCCTTTAAGTATATAAAAAGTGAAGATTTTTTTCATATTTAACTTACACAGAACTGAAACAAAGATCAAAGAAAAAATGTGATTCATCTGAAACCACGCAGTAAAGCTGAAGTTCCTATTCCATGCAGTACTGAGGATAGTTGTCACGATACATTTCTCCTGTGGCTCATCATTCCCAAATGAGGCTTTAATCAGTATGCCTGTACAGTACTGAAATGAAAAAAAGGGATTTCTACCTCTAAATTTTGTTTTAGAGAATCATTTCTGTTGACTTCAGAATATTGTTCTTCTGCTGAAGACTCTAGTTTTAATTTACAAACAAACAAACAAACAAAAAACTCAACTCTCACACATTCCATTATCTAGGTTGCAGCTTTCCAAACTGCTTTTGCTCAGATGTCACTGGTGATGGCAACCCGCGCTCAGTGAGCTGCAGCAGGAGGTGTATTTCCCCATATATCAGTTTTACAGAGTCTTTAAGGTCAGGAGGACAATTCCAGAAAGAGGTTTCATTAATGCCAGGCTTGGGGAATTTAAGGGCAGGTTTTTCTGTTTCCTCAGAATTGGTATAGCCTGGCAGCTGGTGTTTGCCTGCAGCCCATGTCTGGGTTAGCAAGTTGGTATGGCAAACTCGGTCTCAACGAGGGGTCACTTCAGTGTCACCTGTGGAATTATCCAAGGCAGAAAAGCTAATGCTTGGTGGATGCCTAAGCATCCAGTTGGAGGTACCTGTCTCAGCCTGCAGAACGTCACTCCTGAGGGCCTCGGGCGGCCGTCTGAGCAGGCATCGTGTTTCCTGTGCGTCCTGAATGGGAGAAACGGGCTCTGAGAATGAATGTGCAATGGGAGCAGGCTGCAGTGTAGCTGTGTCTGATGGGAATGGATGCACAATAGCTTGAATGACTGCCATAACCACTGGATCCTGACCTGAGAAACAGGCCCGAAATATGCAAGTAAAAGAAGCCGTGAAATATACGATCTGATATAGGCATTTACTTCTTAAATGAGTACCTCTTGCACACTGTTTGCAGCTGTTCTTGTTTAATAAAGAATCAATTACACTTGTTAATTTAATCTGTTGAAGTTATTTTCGTTTGGAAGAAAATAAGCTTAGTGAAGATGAAAGGGTGAACAGAAATCACATACGATTCTTTTTATGTTATCATCTTAAGACAAGATTATGTTGCTAGTTTTGTGTAGCGTTATTGCAGTTTTAAAAAAAAAACTCTCAAATTCTCACTTCATACTCCAAAATAGTGTCTGTCTATACATTATACTTTTTTTTCTTATTTGAAATAAAAAAAATTAAAATACTTTAAATCACTTTTTTTTCCACTAAAAAAAGGTAAGGCTTTCCAAGATCTGGGATTTGTCTGGTTTCCTTAATTTATAGAGACTGTGATATTCCATCCTTCAAAGTGATTCTTCACTTTTTAGTGATGGCAAAGAAATCCTTTAAAGAGACTGAGTTTTATGTTCACCCTTTGTTATAATCATTCCAGACAAGTTTAATGTCTACTTTAGGATTAAGATATTAATAGAGGATTTCTTGATTTTTTTTTTTAATTGGGATATCAAAGCTCCTAAAACTTTGTACTGTTATATTGTTTATACTAATTCATTCCAATTGCTGTTCCTGTACTTGCCCCAAAACTTGCTGCAATGTGACATTCCCTATTAAAACCTTATATTAAAAAACGCAGGTTTTCAGGTTTCTGCATCATTTATGCAAAAAATATATTTAGTTGCCCTTTTCTATAAACTATTGCATTTTCTTTCTAATGCAGGCACTGTACTTTTAGAGGCTTACCTAACTGTTGCTATGTCCCAAATTGGGCTTTTAACCTGTATGTTTCCTGCCTACATAAGACTGTGGAATTGTTCTCGCAGCTGTCTCAGGAGAACTGAACCTTCTTTAAGTTTGAGCGAGTCTTGGGGGTTTAACATAGTTACATGACTCTTGAGGCCTTTTCATCAACCTTGCTTGTCAGTTCCTGCGTAAGCCTTTTATGAAATAAATGTTAATGAAATTTAGAAGTATTTACAAGCAAAGCAGAATTTGCAGAGAGTGGCCAATTTATTTTTGCAGATTAAGGTGAAAGATTCACGAACTTTGGGACCAATTAAGGTAAAAGAAGTATACAAACTCAGGGATAGCAGTTTCTGACTTTCAGGTTTTACACAGAAGCAGTCACATCCAAAAAGCAAACACAAACTGAGAACAATTGCTTTGATTAACATAATGGAGCTAATACTATGACAAAACAGGTGGGACTAGTAAGAAAATAGCTAATAGGGCCTTTATGGGGTAATGACATTATTTCTTGTTTTCCCCTCCGTATACTCAGCTTCACAATAAGAACAGTTTCATAGTTGTAATTTTTTGTCTGTTGGGAAACCCTCCATCTTCCTGCCCTCTCTACCTGCACATTCACCCCCCACTGCCCAAGCCCCAGAGCTCTCCTGTCTCTGCTTTAACAAGTACACCTGTGACCTGCTTCTCTTACAGAGTAGCTACAAGCCCACTCATTGAATATTTCTGTTCTTGATTGAGCTAAAGCTTCACTTTTTTATCAGTAGTTCTTTATGGGGATCTCTGAAGTAAAAGATTGGCTGTTTGTTTGTTTGAAATTCACGATAGTTGAGTAAGTCAAAACTGTTACCTAACTGCATAATTTTGGGTGTGTGCGAGGAGAGTGTATATATTTTAGTAGTCTTAATTTAAATATAATTTTCTGTGTCATATGTTAACTGGTTATAGCTTTCAAGTATAATAATTTTTCACAGGTGTTTTTCAAGAAATATTGTGATTTTTCAAGTTTACCATGGGATAATTTGATTTGTCAATTGTTAAATTTATCCTATATAACATATGATGTGCCTTCTGATTGAAAAGCAATGTTGGTTCCAGAATATTGCTTTTTGGGGGGGCGGATGAGCATTTTATGGTCTGTCACTGGAAAAAACAGAAGCATGACTTTAATGCTGCAAATAAAATGGTATCTGCTGTGAATAAACATCTGGGAAGAGGAGGAGGAGGAGTGCTTCAGAAGAATTAGGCTCTGTCTAGACTGGGGATTTGATCTGATTTACACCGTTTACTGACTGACAGCAGCTATCCAATGATACAATATATAGATAGGCAGAGCTGCTGCTTGAACATGTGGGTCTTGCCCAAATTAACCTCCCACTATGCTTATGCCAATAGGATATTGTATGTTCAGCATGGTCCCAGCAATAGCGGCATTTAAACAGTTGTAATTTTCACATGCAGGTTTTGGCAAGGCTTCAGAAGAAGCTGGTCTGTCATGGTATAGATGAAACCTAAAGTAAACAAACAGATCAGTAAGCTAGTCACAAGAAACATAAACATTAATAATTGAAAGGAATTTTACTACATTCTCTGAAACAACATCAAGTTGGCATAAGATCTGTAAACTAGCTCATTGAATGCTTGGTTGTATTGACTTGACCATATTGAGATGATCATGCAAACAACAAAACAAAGCTTTTGTAGAAGTAGCATGTACTTCATTTTTTAAAATTGGAGCCCAAATAATTATTTAGTATGTATGTGTTAAGGTCTGTGTAATTTTAAAGATATTCATAGAATACTCAGTTTAGGTGGTAGTTAGTATTTGATGTTTGTTTTCATTGAACAGAAATGATTTAAATAATATTTTAATTTTGTAGGAGACTTTGCAGCAGTTGATCATGATGTCTTTGCCAAATGTATTAATAATTGGCAAAAATCCTTTTTCTGGTAAGTTTATTTTTAACTAAGATGAAAATTGATATTGGTGTAATAATATGCTGCTATTTCCCTGGAAATATTGTTTATATAGAATTGAGCCTTTCAGAGTATAAGTACTTTAGCAAATAAAATAGTAAAAAAATGCTAAATGGTTTTTTTAAAAAAAAAAAAAAAAGAAAGAAAAAAAGTCATGAGTAACTAACTCTTTCTCTGTTCACACCAAGGATCCATAGTTGACAAAAATTAAACATTGAATGTGTTCTGCCCAAACTTCATGCTGTCTGTCATTAGGATGCTGGCAGTATTCCCAGATAGTATGTCTTCAACTTTCTTTAGCTAAGCTATCCTGGAGTAAAGAAGGGCAGGGGAGAAAGAAGAGGGGGGACAGTTTGTTGCATCTCACTTGATCCAGCTCCTTATCCTTGTTCTTCCATCCCCCAAACCCTCTTACTTCTCTTGTGTTGTTATCTGAAACCTAAAGCAATTTCTTTTTCTCCCCTGGACTGACACTGTCTTCTCCATACTCCCAACTTCTCTGCTTCCTGCTTTCAGAGTTGCAATTTTCAGACCAAGAAGTTTGGTCTGTGTGGACCCAGGTGACTCTGCACAGCCTCTCGGGAACCTCTGCACCGTGCTCTGAATTCCAGAAGCACGGAGCAGACACACCTGGCCTGTACGGAGTCACTGTCCACTGGGCAGAATTTATTTAGCAGAGAGGTTAGGAACTGCTCTAATAGGCCATTTCCTGAGTAGAAAGAACCTTCTTTTTATTACCTTGCTCTTCAATGCCAGGATTCATACCTTTCCATGCTATTCAAATGCTTTCCATTTACTATCTGCATATATCCTACTTGCGTAGATATCTTAATTTTGTTGACTTCCTACTTTTGATTATTGATACTTTTGCTTCTCAGGGTCACAGCCTTTTAAGTTTTTTTATGTGCAGATAGCCATAATCTGTCAGGTACCAAGAAGCATTGTGGTTCCTCTCCAAGAGTAGAATCTTTCTGTTTTTATCTTTCTTTCCAGACTTTCTTAAGGTTTTCGGAAGACTTCATGGATTTCCGTAGAGATCAAGCAAACTGGAGGAGAGGAGAGAGAGAGGAAAAAAAAAAAAAGGGGGGGGGGGGGGGGAGAAAAAAAACAGTTTGTAGGGTTGTTTTTGTAGCGCCATTTTTAATTCTCCTTCAAATGTAGCTTTTGTGGTTTGGCTGTTTGAGCCTCTGGTGGTATATGCATCCCTTTACCTATGGAAAACTAATGGGCTTGTGAGAAAGCAGCATTTTACTGGAGCATATCCCATACACTAAGAAAGATACTTAAGTATGGACCATATATTTTGAGGCTGTTTCAAGGTTTTGCCAGAGTTCTTTGTGGAATTTATCAGAAGGCATACCTGTTCTTCTGGGTGCTTTTCAGAAGCTTTCTGCTTGACAAGTTGAGAGTACCCTGCTGTTGACTTGGAGGGGACCATATCCTGTCGTTCTTCTTGTTTGTGTGTGTCAGGCCAGTGTCGAAAAATCAAAGCTGTGACCTTTCCAGAGAGCTGCTCTGTAAGTCTGTAGATTTTGTTAGTGATGAGAATTTGGTCCCCTGAAATTTAGACTGCATCTATGCTTTTTACTCCTTTCCGTCCCCCCACCCCTCTTCCTGCCCTCAGACCATCTCCCATTTTTTTCACTTTTGCGCATGATTAGTAGGGAAATACCAGGAGATGGCAAATTGCAGAAGTTCAGGGTGAATAGGATTTCAAGAAACACATTTAACTGCATCAGAGGCATTGGGAAGTCAAGGAAAATGCAGCTAGAATGCTAGGTCTGAGATCTGGTTAAAAAGAGATTTTCAGGGGCTTCAGCAAGAAATGTTTTGTTGAGCAAATTGGCAGGAAGCCAGTTTGAGGGGAAAACTGGCGAAGAGCTAGAGCCTGTGATTGTAAATGTTAAATTGAGTGACAGCAGAAAGGGGAAGAAAAAAGAGATAATGAAGAGGCAAATGTCCTTTAAAGGAGGAGGAGAAGAGTAAGGACTAAAGCCTTTAAAGACTAAAATTTGTGTTTCAAAGGGAGCAAGTCAGCAGGATGGTAAGTAAGGAGGATATGAAAGTAAGGGATAAAAGTGAGGGCAAGGAAGACCAAATGATAGGAATAAAGTTTAAGCTACAAGTTGGAGTGCTTAGAAGAGAAGCACCAACGAGCCTCACTTGTGTTTGTGATGGACAAAACAGAAGAAAAGCGTACAGGAGGGCTGTAGCTGCTAGAGGTTGAGGTGGTTCAGGGTTTTGCCCCATTTCTTCAGGGGAGAGGAGGTGCATGGAGTCAGTAGGCAGGTAGACTTTTAACAGGAGCCAGAGGTGCTGAAGTCCAGTGTCCAAGGCATGCTCAGTAATTCCTTTTTTAAAAAAACATCTTTTGAATTTAGCTGTAAATGAATTTAGGATATGAGATATTGGTGTGGATTGCTTCTGATAAAATATGCTGCTGAAATTATATAAATTTAGGTATGCAGACGTGTAGGAATTCTTCTTTAGCCAAGGTAGCATGTTTCTGAGGAACATGTTCATTGGCCTTTTCTATTTCTATACAAAAGACTTCATGGCTCCCCTCTTTGGGATATAGGAAGGCCATGTGATGATTAAATATATCCTATTTGCGATCATGTTCTTTTTAATCTATCTACTTGACAAACCTGATTTTGAAAAACTAAAGCAATGTCAATATGGTCAATAAGCACCTTCAGTATGGTGTTTGGTATTTGGAATGACAATGAGCCTGTTCGTATGGGTAGTAGTTACTAGCAATGTTTCACAACACAGTTCTGTAGAATAAAAGTCAGATTTCTAGGTAGACTTAGCTATATTTGACAGCATAGCTACTGCTTACTGGCTATATTGGCGAATGAAAGCTGCTCAGACACTTTTACTCCTAAGTAAAAGTGTTTCAGTTGATGCAAAATGATGAACTTCCACGTAGAGCTTTATTCCAGTTAGTCTGAGCTCTTCTCCTGTCCTTCAAGTGTTTGTTTTTAACAGTTAAAGCTTGTATGGTGAATGTAATAGCAGTACCAGGTTAGTTCTTTACTAATCTCTAAATAGAAATCTTTAAAGCTTTTGTAACAGATTTAGATATTTACAGTAAGATTTCAAAATGCATTTTGATGTTTATAGGTAGAGATGAATATCTAATACAGTTTTATGAAATATTTTAAGTAATATAGTCACCTAATTACTTCAGCTTAGGAGCCATATAATGCAAGCACTTGCAGAAGTATCTTTAGATATCTGAGATTCCTTTCAAAACTTGATGGTATTTGTCCAAAGCACGTCTTAAAATATTACCTATGGGTGTTAAGCTATTTGTAAAGACTGAAAGTTGCCAGCTTGAAGTCGACAAGGTGAAAGATTTTTTTTTTTTTTTTCGTCTTATAAGTTAGGTTAATGTAAATCGTATAACTTAGGTTAATTTTGGAAAACCAGTGGTTTTTGTGGGGGGGGTGAGTCAGTGTAAGAAACTCTGAAAATACTGTTGTTTACAGCTATCTTTTACTTCTTTCATCCTAGAGCCAGGTACTGAAGAAATAAAAAAGCTCCTCTTGCTTTTACTTGGTTGTGCAGTACAGGTATGTTAACATTTTGTATCTGCATCTGTACAGAATGGTTCAGGATCTACAGGTCTGATTACTGATTTGTTTTGCCTCTCGCTGTTTAACACCTGAGTTTTTATACTACGGTGATCTGCCTTCAGTAAACTGTTTTCTAACAAAGTATTATTAGGAAAGTTTGTATCATTCAGCCATTCAAGTCGAAAAAATAGTTCAGTCATACGCTCTTAAAAATGTAGAAGCAACTTGAATACCGGAGGAGGACACTGAAGAAAAGTCTATGGAAGTCATTTTTCAAAAATAAGAACAAAAATTTATAGTTATTACATTACTGAGCTATTATCCAATATTTTTGTTGACAATTAAATGTTTATAACAAGTTACTGCAATTGTAACAACTTTCCACATTAACAAACTGATATCAAAAATAGTTATTGAAATGATGGCAAGATTTTTTTTAAAAAAAAAACAATTAAATTCCTGTTGTTAAATCACTTGAAAATGTCATACTAATTTAGCTTTCAGGGTCATCTTCTATATCTTGCAGAATTAGGAAGTAAAACACTTTTATTATTTTATATATGTATATATGTATATATTTTAGTGTCAGAAAAAGGAAGAAATTATTGAAAGAATTCAAGGCTTGGATTTTGACACAAGAGCAGCTGTTGCAGCCCATATTCAAGAGGTATATTACTATTTTTGTATTCTTATAATGTTCGTTTTGTTACAGTGAAATATTGTTGACAAGTTAATTGTGTGTGGTCAAAAGAAAGTAAATCAGAGTGTGATTTGTATATCCAGTGTTTGTTTGCTGTAGCTTTTTCAGTGATTTGAGTTTTGTTCAGTAAGATTGTCAAAACAATAGCAGGAATTAATATGTTGTTCTTGGTAAAGAATTTCTTAGTATTACAGTGAAAATTACTCATGCAAAATTATTTATAAAATATAATTGAAATCTCGTACATGAAATAAGTGTTATAAATTATGTCATAGTTACATTTTGCTTTCTTTTTGCCTGGTATGAAAGGCAGTATTTTTCAGGTAGATTGACAAGAAGCTATATGCAGTTGTAAATTATCATTCATTTTCTAGTGAATTTAAACCATAGAGTTTCCACTTTATTTTCTTTACTTTTTCCTACTCTCATAATTTGGAAAGGCTGATTTTTTTTTTCTTCCATTTGGTTCTATATAGGTAACTCATAATCAGGAAAATGTGTTTGATCTGCAGTGGATGGATGTTAGTGTACTGACACAAGAATATGTTGAGCCTCTCTTGAAAAATATGGCATTACATTTAAAAAGACTTATAGATGAAAGAGATGAGCACTTGGAGGTATGGATGTGATTTAAGAGAATGTTACTTAACAGAAATAGAAGATAGCATTTTAAAAAATGATAGCCTTATCACTTTTAGAACTAATAGTTAAGGTATGTTCTATTAACAATTTCAGCAAAAAACTTGTCATTACTGCAAAGTTATTTTAAGTAGTTACAAATTTAATTCGGGATGCAGTTGAATACTGTGAATAAATAGCAGAGATAATGAGAGATTGTCTTTTTCATATCATCAGAACCTGAAACAACTTTTAACTGGCATTCATCCATACTTCTGAACAGTAAAGTGCAGTTTGAAGGCTAGTCACTGAGAGTGTAGTATATAATAACTACACTATAGCTATATTATAGAGCTGTGAGTGAAATGGAGCAGAATCCCTATCAGGGAGAGGAGGTTTTACAAGCTTATCACCAGGCACAATCATTGCTACGGTGTGAGAATCAAGAGAGAGAGAATGTGTTTAAATTAAAGAGCGGCAGGTTGTGAATCATATTGGTGACCTCAGACTTGCACCTTTATCAAAGCAGTTGTACAGGAATCTCTTTTGAAAACCTGTAAGTGTGGATGTAGATTTGACCAGTTGAAGACTAACACAACTATCTTAAATAGTTGTGTTTAAGACATGTTCAGGTATAGAGGACCTTCTGGCTTCTATTTTTGCCACAAACTTTTATTACTATTTCTTGTATCGTTTTAGGCTTTGACTTATTAAGGCTGGGAATGGTAATTGTTTCTGACATATAAATTGCTCTCCAAATGCAATTACACCGTTGGTTGGGCTCTTTGTTTAAATTTCTTAGACTATCATAGAGCTCTCGGAGGAACGGGACTGTCTCCGTTTTCTACCTCATGCATCAGCAGCACAATCACCTTGTGGATCTCCTGGCATGAAACGTACCGAGAGCAGACAGCACCTGTCAGTAGAACTAGCAGATGCCAAGGCAAAAATAAGAAGGCTTAGGCAAGAGCTGTGAGTATGCCTGGGTTGCAAAAGTGTGTTGACAGTTGAAGGGATTTCAAATTCTGGTTATGTTGAACAATAATAGCAATCTGTAAGAAAGCTATACGTTTTCAGATGCTAAATTACAATTTCATATACCTTTTTATAGTTACCGCATTTTGGGAAGCCTGTTTGTAGTATGTAAGCATTTTTATGGACCAGTGTGGAAAGAGATACTGTTATTTGTTTGTTGCCTTAATAGAAATTAAGAATTCTGTTATAGTTTTAATGCAAACATAATAACAATCAGTGAAGTATGCTGTTGCAGTTTTGTCCTCTGAAACTTTCTGATTAAATGTGCTTGAGCAATATTAAGATTTTGCATGTTAATGGGCTCATTGTTTTACATAAGTCATCTGTACCTCAAAAATGTTTCACAGCTAGTCTAATGTAATGTTGCCCATTTAAAAAAAAAAAAAAAATCTACGGACAATATGATGCCCCCTGTTTTGGGGCAAGGTCTTTGTCTTCTTACATTGTTTTTTATCAGTAATGCATGCCTGATAAAGGTTTATAAATATTTGTATATGTTTCTAATGGCTTTGCAGTTGAGGCAATTATAGTGTGACATGCTCAACGTATTGCACTATAGTGCTGGTACTGTTGTAGTGCGGATATGCTGAATATATCACGGTATATGGGGTTGAACATATACTGTATAGAAGTTGTTATGTTATTGCAAGAGATAGGCAGGTAGAGCTGTATCCCAACTGATTTAGGACTTGGGGCAAACTCACTTTTTTTGGAAGGAGACAGTATGGTAATGATTCTTTGTCTGCACTGCAATTCAGTTACCTGTTTTTGTTGGAAATTATCATTTATGGTTTATTCACAGTCTGTGCTGCGCTTCAAATAGGAGGAACTTGCACACCACAAAAATTTCCAGTCCCACATCTCTTCATTTCTTTCTGCACAGAAGATTCTTTAGCTGCATGGCATTTGCTTGCTCATGCCCCTCCATAGTGTTCCACTTCTCCCATGCCAGGCTACACAGAAAATTACATAATTCTGCCAAACCTCCTGACTCGCTTGTAAACTCATGTGCAAACATGGCTACAGCAAGGAATTCCAACCTGGATGCATGAAACAAGCTTCAGTTTTACTGGTGGGGTGGTTATTTAGGACTAAAGGTAATTTGGGGAGCGAATAAATTTCATTGGTTGAATTTGATGTGTTTTATTATGATTTCCAGTTTATCCAGATAGGAGCTACTGTCTCCTCCCCCTAGTGGTGACCCCTTAGCTAAAGATAATATTGCCCTCCATCTAATTCAAGTCTCTTGAAAAATGGGTTTTAAAAAAAAATTGTTTCCATTTTTTTCTCTTCTGTTCAATGAAGAAAACTAATTCAGTAACTACTTTTGTCAGTGAGTACTTAGATTATCTATCACTATAGTCTAGGAACAACTCTTGAGTGGTGGTAGAGAGTTATTTAAAGGAAAAAATATGAGAAAATCTGATTCTCCCTATAGCAAAGCCTAATGTTGTTTTAGCAGAGTGAAGTCTACACTTTGAACTAAAGTAACAGATATTAAATTTTAAGAGATTCAATAGGTACACTAAGTAACTTGCATCTGATAACCAAAAATTTCAGTGGAGCAGAATTAGGAGGTGTAAAATTAAATTATGAGTTGCAGGTAGCCTAAGTCGCAATCCTCAGCTTCCCGGTGTGCCTTTATCAGAGTTTGCCGATCAGATCATCGGTAGCTGGATGGATTGAGTATCTGGTATTTACTTGATGAATCCCCTTCCCCCGCTGCATCTTGGTATTTATGAAGAATAGAGGACAAAAAGATGGGGCTTGCTTTTTCTGATGTCTGTATTATTATGTGTCTGCTGAAATGAGCCCGCCCAGGATATTCTATAAACAGCTGCACCAAGAAAATTAGTGAAAAAATTGCTGTTATTACTTTGATTGACAGCTAATAGATAGCCTAAACAGTGAACACTGGTATGTTCTGTATAATTTAATGCAATCCTTTCTAGTCTGAAGCTGAAGCATGCAATTAGGGCAGCAGTGATGGCTCAGAACATTTCACATTTTGCACTCTTTTTGAATTCAATTCCTAAATAAATTTCCTTTAGGCATAGCAGTCTATTTAAGATAGACTTTGCTAAATTAACTTCTGGTTATAGCATTTGATATAAAATACGCTATGTGTTTTATAAATGCAATTCTAGATTCATTCCAAGGTAGGAAACAGCTTAAATAGGTTTGTAATCTACTACTTGGCAGTGAATCTTTAGATTTGGCTTAATATGTACTGTGGTTAATAGTGGTGTTTTTTTTTTTTTTTTTTAAACATTTGTAAAGATTATTTTTCCTGGATGAAAACTGTGATTTGAGGAATGTAATACAGTACCTCCAGGAATGGAAGCTGCATACCTAATTCTTTTTATTAAGTCTTACTGGTTTCTATGTAGAACCATATTATAGGAATATGAATATTAATAGAAAATCATAGTAATCTGACATAATAGGGAATAAATTTGTATTTCTGAGTGGTTTCTAAGCATAGAGGAATAAGTGACATCCGTTCTGGACCTGTGAGAGGTCTTACTGAAACAGTGTACGGTTGCAGATAGGTCATTTATTGTGAGATTGGCTCATATTTAAAAACAATAGTGTTCTAGCTTTGCCTAAAGCAAATGTATTTTTCCCCCATTATGATTACTTTTAATTATGTTAAACATCTCAATGCATTAAATTCTCTTTATTTTCCACTTTAGCCACTTCTGTTTCATTTTATATTTTAATTCCAAATTTATTTAATAATATAGTAATATATCTGAGTATGCTGTACAACTTTTAGCTATATAATCTTGTATGGCACTTTTTATCAGTGAATATTTTTTGCTTTGATGTGGAATTGAATTTTAAACATTAGATATGCTGCCACTTTGAGGGAATGACATTTTTCTCTAGGACCTGCTCATTGCGTAAATAATTCATTTTTTCTGAGCATTTAGAAATAGATGTTAGTTAGAAGGATACAAAAACAAGTCCACTAAGAATTGTAATATTCTGTTAAATTGGTTTTTATTCAGAGTAGAATAGGCCATTGTATCCATATTATCAAAATTCATTAATTAAGAGGCTGCATTTCATAACATTGGTTTACTAAGCAGCACTGCCTTTTGAGTAAAAGTACCTTTAAAACCTTAGTTCTTCTCTGCAAAGAAAAAAAGAGAAAAAATGTAAAGTATGAACATGATTTTTAGTTTATTTTTTCATGATCTATAACAGGATTTGTCAGTGACTGTTGTCTAGTGGTGCCATGTAAGTTTTTAAAAATATATTCAGCATTTACTTTGTAATGTGATTTTTGCATTACACATCTGTGTCAAGTCTGTTTTTAGACCCAATAACAACATAATGCTTTCTGTTCTGCAAAAGTGGGACAGTTAAATGGCTAATAAAAACTTGACTAAATTGAAAGATTAGGTTTAGATCAAAACCTAAAAAAATACTTACAAACATAATGGCATACCTAATTTTCATGCTTATATGTTCATGAGGTTTTGGATTCAGTAAGGAAATATTCAGAAATCTCTTTTTCTGTTACAGCCACATGAGGAGGTAATACAGTTTTGTAGCCATGTTTAACTTTGTGTTTCCTTTTTTAAGTGAGGAAAAGACTGAGCAGTTGCTTGACTGTAAGCAAGAACTTGAACAAATGGAAGCTGAGTTAAAGAAACTTCAGCAAGAGGTATGGGTCTGGTGAATTTTTGTGAATTTGTTCGTTGGTTGCCAGTGTATGAAGTCATTGAGGGTCACTTGAGAATATTTTATGTCAAAGAAATCTGCTGTTCTTACTGTGATCTGCAGAGAAATGGACGGCAGTGTATGGACCTTGCACAAAGCCAAGTCAGATATCTTAGAAAAACATCATCTGGGCTCAGCCTTTAAATGACTCTTTCTTTACCCTTCCCAAAATTAACTCTATGTTATCTTTCTGCATTACCCTTGATTTAAAAGGATTTTAAAAGAATTTAAAGGAATGGAAGGGCTGTATTTTTCTTCAGCAGGTATTGTCCTTTTTTTTTTCTTGCCGGTGGCTCCTTCATAGCAATTGTTTTTCCTTTTATGGAGCTCACCCAGAATAAGTTGTGACTGCTTTGTTATAAGGACTTAAGGAGTAATGTTAACTAACTCGTTCATAGAGAAAAACTGTACATTTCTCAAAACTTGAAATGTTCCTCCCTTTATGAAACTGTAAAGCTTTGCATGTTGCAGCTAGTTTTTATCCCATCAACGTTTTTATTGTGTTCAGATTAAATAGTTAGGGGCAGATGCTTGAATAAACCTAATTCAGGAAACACTTTCACCATTATAACTTATTATCAATATAAAAGTTCATTGCTCTGTTTAAAGTTTTTACATGAGTTCTTAATATGGTTACCTTAAAAATAAAACCTACTCTGTGCTTACATGCTGCTGAGGCAGAAATGCAGAGTGATGTTGAAAAGATGGAGGTTGGATCAGTGAAACAATTATTGAAGTCCTGAGATATTTCTGGAGTGCATATTCATGTTTTTGTGACCACAGCAGTGCTAGAAAACTTGGATCTTTGTGGGAGAGTTGAGGGATCTATATTTGTACCAGCATGGAGGAAAAAAGTGATCATACAATCCACTATTTTTGTATTTTTCTTTTTTCTAGAATATGAATTTACTATCAGATGCCCGGTCTGCCAGAGTGTATAGAGATGAGTTGGATGCTCTTCGTGAGAAGGCAATTCGAGTTGACAAGCTTGAAAGTGAAGTCAGCCGATATAAAGAGAGACTACATGATATTGAATTCTACAAAGCCAGAGTGGAGGTATATTAAGGAAATAATTACAAATTACATGTATTTTTGTTTGCTATTGTTTTTTCAAAGTGATTATGATAAACATTAGGACACAAAAACTGTTAATAACTTCTTGCTATTAGATACATGATAGTGATAAATTACAGTTTTCAGGTGGAAGTCTTTGCCTTGAATATGCATCTCTGCGTTGAGTTTCATTTGAAGTGAGCAAGATTCTCCATAGCTCCAAGCTGGGGAGAGCAGTAGCAGACTCAGGATCTAGGATTCTATGTATTGAGAAACACAAAGGGAGAGTTATTTAAAAATATACATGGAATAATTTCTGTCCCTTTTTTGTGTCGTAAAAGAGGACAATTTTCTAAGCCTTGAGGAAATGAGAGCACAATTAATGCCAAATTAGTATGAGATGGAATTCCATAAAACATTCTTAAAAATGTACTTTAAAAAAAAAAAAGGCAGTGGCCGTGTCACCAGACAGTAGTTGTTTACAGTCCTGTAAACAGTCCTTTTTTTTTTTTTTAAGAGTTTTTTTTTCTTTAAAAGAAAAAAGTCAACTTCAAATATATTATTAGGCCATCATTCTGTCTGTAAATGGAAAATGTCAGGCAAATGCTGAGGCAGAGTTTTTATATGAAATAATTAATTTTGATAGTCAAAACTAACAAAAGTTAAAACATTTTCAAGGTCAGCATTTCAAAATAAATCCTAGAAAAATAGGTAGGACTCAAATTTAAATTAACACTTATTGGAAAAAAGTATTGTTGCTTAGATTTAAGCATTGAGATGCTGTTAATAGCCTTTCTTGGAACTAAAAATGGTTCAAAAAGCAGGCAAGATCTTGGGTAAAATCTGATGCACCTTTGCAGGATGTAATTTTACATAATTCCATCATAGAATCATAGGGCTGGGTGGACTCTCAGGACCGTATTCAGTTCTTCTGCTTTAGGCAAGGTGAGCTATAGCCACAGCGCTCTTAAAGAGCATTGGGCAGAGTGCTCTCTTCTTGGAGAGCTCAATGATGAAGTGTATTCAGTCTTTATGTAGCAGCCTTTTACTCCTCTGAAGTCTGTGACCTGTGATAGGTCCTCTTCTCCAGTCTTTGTGCTGTTGTGTCCACTATCATTCTGCCTTGCAGGGTGTTTGTTTTGACTTAATTTATGTTTTTCTTGCAATAAAGAATCCCAGAAATTGGGTTTCATACTCCAGTTAAGCCTTGCCAGTTCCGAATAAAGAGAAAGGATTCCTTCTGGTATAGCACATTTTGGTATAGCAAGTCATCAGCAGCATCTCAACACTCTGTGGTAACCTCTAGATATATATATATATATTTTTCTTCCTGAAACTGCTGCGTAGCTGTGCTTTAACTCTGATCTTGTTCTCTTACCTGAAAAAAGTCAGGCTGTTAAGAAGAAAGGTGTCTATGGGAGGGCTTGACAGCGTTGACTAGAAATATTTATTCATCAGAATGTGTAAATTTGACTTTCATAGGTTTTTTTTTTTTTTTTTTAAAAAGTTAAACTTTTGTTTACATATTTTATACACTGTAAATTACTCTATATTCAAACATACTTGAATAGAGACAGATGTTAATTAATTGGCTTTGCTCCATAATAATAATAGTTATAAATTAACATAGTAATTGTGCATGGAGCAATATCAAGAATAAATACTTATATGATACTTCAATGATTTTGTTTTTCCAAATTTTATAGCTGAATACATGCAGAAATTTTAAAAGTTATGTCTGTTATGTAAAATTACCAATGATATTTTTTCATGTATTACCTTCATTGGGTGCCATTAAAGAATTTTTTAAAAGCAGCCCTCTGTATTCATAAATTAAAGCTGTTTTAGGCCTTTTGAATATGATTGTCTTCTGGAGCATGCTGTTGAGCTTTTAACACAGAGGAGCCTGATGGAGCATTTAAGTCCCTCTACCCAGTTGCCCATAAGCCTCAATATAGCCTGTAGAAAAATATTCTCCATTTCCTACAACATAAAGACTAGGGTGGTCTACCTGGTAGTAAAATAAACTACAGAATGAAAGGCACATCTACACTGGTCTTCTGCCTATGACACCAACCAATGCAAGGTGCTTAGAGAAAGCTCAGGACTGCTGCTTTCCTGTCATGCTCTGCCTGCCTCCAGCAGGCTCCGTTCAGGCAGGTCTTACCTGTGGCAAGTGCCTTTGAGCTTATTAGGCTTGACACTTTCTTCCATGAGTTAGATACCTTTTCAATACATGTAAGCTGCTGTCAATCATACGCAGAAAACTCTGCAGTTTAAATATATGGAAGGTTGTTTTTTTTTTTTTTTTTTTTTTTTTTTGATGATAGTATTTTGATCAGCTGCACTCAGACAATTTGGAATACGTCTTTCAGTGACAAAGGTCAGATTACAAGGGTGTTCATAGCCTGACTGTGATTAATCAACAGCCTATTAATTTCTAATGCTTTAGTGGAAATGCCATTTCCTTTATGTAAAATTTTATGTAAGTTAGAGTTGTATGAAATTGCTATTTTTTTTAGTGAAAAACAGAACTATTATAGCTTCAAAATGAACATATGCTAGTAGAACAACATTTCTAAAACTAGGTATGATGAATATCAAAGTTTCTTTTAATAAGAATATACCTTTTTGTGGTTCCTTTTGGTTTAATTCTTGCAGGAGCTAAAGGAGGACAATCAAGTGTTGCTAGAAACAAAGACAATGTTGGAAGATCAATTAGAGGGGACCCGAGCCCGTTCTGATAAATTACATGAGTTAGAAAAAGAGAATCTACAATTAAAAGCTAAATTACATGATATGGAGATGGTAAGTGTAAATGGAGGATGACAAAGATAACCGATATGCTTTGAATTTCATTTGCATATTTATTAACAGAAGCTCTCCTAATCAAAATGGCATGGGGGAGAGGACGAAGATATCTCAAGTTGTTTACATCTTTTGGATACAATTTCTTGCTGTAGCTTTGGTTCTACCTAGGGAAGTACAAATTTCCAAGATAGTACTACTCTTTAATCCCCTATCTTAAAATATAATAAAGAATATAGAATCTCATTAGTAATTCTTTCGATGAGAAGATAGTGTATTGTCATTAAATACTTAATTAAGCTGCAGGTTGTCAGTATTTGAAATCCTGGTAATAGTGACATGTTTTTCAGGCAATTTTTCCCAATATGCTTTCAGCTGTTAACCATCTTTTCTTCAAAACAGTCAGTATTCTAAAATATCCAATCACAGTTTACATAATTTGATTATGTGTGATTGCATGCATAATTTGAGCTTTTTTTCCTTTCCTTTTCTTTCTCCCTTCTTTTAAAAAAAAAAATAATAAGGATTTTCCTTAAAGAGGTACTACTTACTTACTTTCATTTTCTAACTATTTTGAAAGTTACAGCTGTGATTTTTTTCTTAAATAAGCAAGGAGTTTGAGAAGGGTAAATAAATAATAAAGGTGAGGTACTTTCATCATGAGACCCAAACCTGTTTTCTTATTGTTACTTTTTCTAAATTAAAGTAGTCTTGCAGTATTCTAGAGAAGGTGAAATTCTGCTTCTGTGTGTCTATTCTATTTTTTTAATGATATGTGTGCTGTTAAGCCCTACATACCATCTATGCATGGTTTCTCTTTATTCTGGGAAGGGGGAACTTGGAAAAAGAGTAATTGTAAGAGTCATTGTCGTGGGTTATAATGAGAGGAGGTTATTTGCAGGTTCATTACTTTTTTTTTTTCTAAAATTATACGTGAAATATTTTTTAAGGAGCGTGATATGGACAGAAAGAAGATTGAGGAACTCATGGAGGAAAATATGACTCTAGAAATGGCTCAGAAACAAAGCATGGATGAATCATTGCATCTTGGCTGGGAACTTGAACAGATAAACAGAAGTACTGAACTTTCTGAAGGTAAAAACATAGTAATACTTGCAAACTCAGATAAATTGAAAAAAGTGAAACCATGTATATTTGCCTATTATTACACAAACTTCTGGCATGAAATATTTCATTTGCTTACACAATTTTCTCTGTAAGTTTAAATATGAAGGAAAAAGCTTCTTCAGCAGAGCTGCCATTAATTATACTACTTACAAATCTGTTTTGGTTTTATATAAAGATGAGAATTGGAATTGTGGGGAGGAATTAAGTAAGATTTACTTAAATATGTCAAATAGCATTTCTGTTAAAAACAATTAAGTCAAATGATGAAATACATTTTTTTTTCCTGGCGCTGAGCTACTGCTGAATAGTCATACTACTCGTTTCCCTGAAGCTTGTTCAGTGAAATAGCTGTCTATTTGTGGCTTCTCCTGGCTTTTCTGTGTGTGTGTGTGTGTGTTTTTTTTGTTTTGTTTTGTTTTGTTTTTTTTGCTGTTGTTTTGTTTTGTGCACTTGTGTGTGTGTTTTTTTTTTTTTGTGTGTGTGTGTGCGTCTTTTTTTTGGTTTCTTTTCTCTCTTATCTCTAATAAGAAATATGCGTTAGACACTGTGAGAATGTTCTAGTGAGCAAGTATCTGCTAGGGCCAGTTGCTGCACTTTGCCCTGTACTTCCTTTATCTTCTCCCAGATTCTGTGTCTAGAGATGTGGCAGCAAATGGCTCTAGTCCTCACTGAACTCAGAAGATTCCAAGGCCTGGAGCAGTCTCTGTGCTTTGCTCTTTCAGCTGGCCAGTGTTGCAGAATGTAAAGGAAGCATTCTGGCAGCGGAAGGTGTCTGCTGAGCCTTTCTTCAGAGGATAACTAGAAAATTGGTGTCTTTGCAGATTTTTTTTTCTTTTTCTCCCTGAAGCAGAATTACAAAGGTGGGGGCAGTCTTTTAATTCTTCTTACCTGCCAGCTCAAGAGACCTACCTAGAAGTCGGGGCAAAGCTCAAACACTGGACAGTTAAAAGAGAATCATAACTCCTGTCGTGCAAAGTTGCACTATCTTTTGCTCTGTGAATGGGAGAAATAATACACTTCTTTTTTTGTTTTGTTTTTTTCCTCTCAGTCCTATATATCCCCTGAGATGCATCCTGTATGAAAAGCCTCTTGTGGCTCTTTTGCTCTTAAATGCAGGTTTGATGTCTTGGAACAGTATCGCGTTACTAATTCGAGTGTCTACCTGTTTAACACAGTTTGTGACTCTTCATCTTAATGTTCTATAAGTTAAGGAAGAATTATTAAAGCTTTTTAGAGAAATTGTTTACAGATAGAACCATGACATAAATTTAATTTCTCCAATGAAGTACTTCTGCTTATACAGAGGACTACATACAAGGGATTCATTTGGACATATTTCCTCAGTTGCAGGAAAGCAATCTTGGCCTGGATTGTAGTTGAAGCATGAGTGGGACATGGCCTTTAAACCTCTATAATGTTTTATATTGGGTAAGGGAGGTGGGTCATTAACCCTGAGAAAAGTGTATTCACAAGAAAGGCTCTGGGGGATCATCATAGGTTTCTGAATCCTGTGAGTATGCCAGTGCAAAGTGTGTCCTCTGAGAACTCCAGCCAATGGCAAGTTCTATTTATTCATGGTGCTTTTTTTTTTTTTTTTTTTTTTAATTCTACAGTGCCACAGAAGTCTCTTGGTCATGAAGTAAATGAACTGACATCAAGCCGATTACTGAAGCTGGAAATGGAAAACCAAAGTTTACTGAAAACAGTGGAAGAACTACAAAATGCAGTAGGTTCTGTGGAAGGCAGTAGTTCAAAGATACTGAAAATGCAGAAAGAAAACCAAAGACTTAGCAAAAAGGTAGACATCATCATATGTTAGAGTCTACACAGTTTTGTGTTATTCGCTTACAAGTTATAATTCTAACACTTGTAAATAAGTGTTATTTATAAGTTTGAACAAAAAAACCTTATTTGTGCAGGAGACCTATTTCTTTTTTAATTATGCTTTTTATTATGTATGTGACTGCTTTATTCAGAAAGTTCTCATAGCTACAAGGGGAAAAATCAATGCACTAATATTGGGGACATAATGAAAGATGAAAATTTCTTATAGTACTTTCGAAGGTTATTTGTTGGGTTCATTTGTTTTTGTAAATAATTAATTGCACGTGAATAGAGATAGCAGGCAGTTTTCAAATAAGCAACAAAATTGTTCCTGTGTCCTTGTTTATAGAAAATTTATGCTCTTTTAAAAGTCAGGGAAAAAAAAAGGGATGTGTTGCTGCGGCATTGTGGAACAAGAGAGTAAAAGGAACTAATCAGATATATCCATACTAATTTTCAACATTTTATTCCCGAAACTACGTATGTCACAGAATCACATATTGATCAGATCTCCTCTCATGTCATACAGAATAACTTTATCATTGGTTAGTGACTAATGCTAGTCTAGCTAGTGCTAGACTAAGAGGTAGTGAGGGGAAAAGAACTTAAGTTCTTGTCTTCAATATTTTCATGCTTTTTCTGATTTCTTAAAAATATTTCTTCAGCAATTGAGCTGGTGTACAGTACTGGCTGGGTTGTTGAAGTGCAGGAAAGAAATAAAAGGTAGGAGAAAAATGAAGCAGTAGAGATGCTTATTCGAGGATCAGCCAGCAAGAAAATAAAATCCAGACCCACTGTTTTTGTCTTGCTTTGTATAACTTCTCGTTGGCTTTTCTGTGAACTTATGTGGTTACATGGATAATAAATGTCTCGGGGAAAATAGCAAATGCCAGTGTTAAATGCTCTCTGGTTTTATTCATCTTGGAAAAAGTAGACAACCATTGCTAGTGCGAGACGCTCTGAAGCAAATGAAAGACCATTGGTTGTTTGCTGCGATGGGACTTCTGTGTGTCCAGGCTACTACTACTGCTTAGTCAAAGATACTTGGATCCCACATGTTCTTGACATTTTTTTTTAGCAGTATTGCCTTGATGCTCTCACACCATCTCTTTAAACTGAACAAATCTGAATTCCGTTATCTTCAGGGCTTAGATATTAGATAACCGTTACTAGCTGAAATCTGCTGTCCTCTAGGCAGAATTGGAGAGATCTGTTAGACTGACCTATGTACCAAATAGGTAAAATTCTGGTGTGGTCTGACACAAAATCCCTAAATATCTCTAGTAAGAAATTTCTCTCCCTGCTATCTTTGGCTGTCACAGTTACCTCTCTGTGATACACATACAGCCTCATCAAGTTGGATGGTCCTTCAGTGATAATCAAGAAGATCCTTCTACCAAGATCCTCCATACATGGTGTTCTATCTGGCATGCTTTCTTTGGAAGTAAGCTGTAAATTCCTCTCTTAGAGTTAACCAGAACCTCACAGAGGCAGGATGAAGACTGTGTCCGCAGAAATGCTACTGCTGGTGCCCAGTTGGCAAACAATTGTTAAGACAGTTGGGCAGTTTATTGAGAAATTTGGTAGAGTGTGATTGCACCTCAATGAAAATTTCAATATCCCCAAAAAACAAATATTCTTCTGTTGGACAAGAAACTGGGAAAATCTTAATGTCAGATAGAGAAGCAAATAGAAGACTGATGAAATGTTAGTATTCTAATTTTAAGATAAATTTTTTAACTCAGGTTTTGGGCTAACTGTGGTGTTCTTTTTGTATACTTCCATTTGGCAAATTACTTCATGGAAGAACAAATGCCATTCTATTTTTTTTAAGCGTTTTTTTTAATTTCTCAGTATTCAACAGCAAGAACAGATTTAATTTGGAGGATTTGTTTATGGAAATATTTGACCACTGTGCAGTCAGATTTATGTCTGGACTTCTACAGGAGGGAGGAATGTGTACCATGGACTTGACATAGAATGTAAACTTCACAGCAGATGATTCTTTAAAAATACAATGTGTATGTTGTTTTGAAGTTACTAATTATGACTTAGATGTGACCAGTACATGAATACATTAAATAAGATCAAACAACATTCAACCCTTATGAAAGAGACTTGAAAGAATAGTGTAAACCTCACTAAAATGGATTTTTTTAGTGTAGTTAAAATATGACCAATTTTATATATAAAAGATTTCACATATAGATATTACAGATATTCTGCTGCACCTAGAGAGAAAATTTTGGTAGATGTGACTTTCACCCTTGAATAGGTGAGCTATTTCACGCACAGAATAGGAAAGTCTGGTTTGTTCTTTCATTTAATTTGCTTTGTTAAATTTTATAAAAGTAAAATAATATTATCTCTTACATTTGCAACTTACATTGCAAATGTAAAAATGTAATCATTTTTAAATTTTACATTTTTCATTGATTTCTCTTTTCATAGCTTGAGGGGCTGGAGAATGAAATTAGCCAAGAGAAGCAAAGCCTTCAGAATAGTCAAAATTTGACTAAAGATCTAATGAAAGAGAAAGCACAACTTGAAAAGACGCTTGAAGCGCTGCGAGAAAATTCAGAGCGGCAAGTGAGTAGCAAAATCAAAAGTCAAATTTTGTGTTTCACTGTTCTCCTTTTGTACTTCTTAATAGGCATAAAGAGATTATGAGTGTAACGGATTTGCCTGAAGAGAATGCATGCAGCAAATGGCTTATCTAAGATCTGCAGCATGTGAGAATTGGCTCATTTTTAGCTAAGGCTTCAGGGTTAGTTTTAGGATTTTCTGGTATTTTCTTACATTTCAATTTTTATTATACTTCCTGGGCTTTTGTGGGCCGTGCTCATGCTTTAGTTGCTTAGAGGGATTTGTTCTGCTAAAGCAGAAAAGTTGGTGTGGGCCAAACACTCTTGAGCTCCGTTGAGAACCGCAGCAGCCCGTCCCTTGAAGGGGCCTAGTGAGCAGCAGCATTTGCTCCGCTGCCAGCTCGCTCCTGTGTCACCTGCCTTCTTGAGCATCGGGGCAGGAAGCATTGCAGCCATGTCTGTAAAGCTCCATGCACTAGGGTAGTTCCTTTCTGTGACTTGAAGGTAGATGGCAGAAACTATTTTTAGACACCAGAAACTGGCTTCTGCTTCTTAGTGAAAAATTATGGCTATGCCTGAGAAGAGGGAATCTAATCAGTGCAGAGATGTTCCACAGCTCTTTGCAGAGTAATTTAGAGGACCTGTGGAAGGGCAGCCAGTAGGAAAGGAGTTCTGGAAACATTTGGAAATACTATCTTTAGGAATTACATTTTTCAAAATTAGTATTGTAATTGTTATAAATTGTTTTGATGCTTCTTGATGAGATTTCTCTTTATTTGGTTTAATATAAAACTTAGGGGCACACTCCTTTAGAATACAGGATACTATACTTTTAAAATCCTTATTAAATGAGAAAATATCAGACATATAAACTGAACAAAAAAAGACAATATTTAATTTTGTCAAAAACTGCAGGAGATATCATTTTGCTAGGGTTATAGAAACAGAGATATGGAAAGTAATTGTGCACGTCCAGTAACATACTAAAAAATAGTAACATAGTTTGCTAAAGGCATGTTAATTGTGTTGTACAAGTGTTGCAAAAATTGTGTGTGTCATAAGAGCCTGTCATTAATCGTTTTAGAATACTTTGGTATTGCTGGGAACAAACCCCTGTATTCCATAATTAATGCCTCCACACAAACTTAAGTATGAGAGAAGTCATATGGCATTTTTCCTCAGTCTGTTTTCCTTTCTTCTACTGCTTTCAGTCTTCTCAAATGTTGTTAAAACATCCCTTATGTTATCTTATTTATGTATTATTAAATATTGATCTAAATGTTTTTCTGTTTTTTTGTGATCTGCTATATATCCACTAGTAATTTCCACTGGGTTGGAGCCATTTAAAAAATCAAGAAATGCAGATGCACAGGCTGCTTTTATCCTGAAAGTAAATAGGAGAATATGTTCCTTAAGAAAATAGTTCAGTCATAGCAATGATTTACTCTTTGCGGAGACTCTTTTGGAGCATGATAACAACTTTTATTTTGTTGAAAAATTGGTATAGAATTGATGCATTTTTTCCTAAAATGCCATTGACTGTGATCAGAATTTCCTTGTATTCAAATATCAACTCTATGCTCCTAAATAAAATAAAGGCACTTTTATGTCCTCTGCATTTCTTTCTCAAGTTTGGTTTAGCCTTGACTGCAATTACCATCTTTATGCCTTATGACTGTTTCTGGTAGATATGTCTCTTGTAATGACTGATGTGTAAGAAAAGTAGGTTAAACCGGGATAAAAGCAACTGAAGTGAAATGAAGCTAACAAAGGAATAGTGCTTTGTTTTGCATTATATTATTTTTCCTTGTTTTGTTATTTAAGAGAAAGATATTTGAAGATAACGCTTGATTGTTGGTTTCATAGAATCACAGAATTGTTAAGGTTGGAAGGGACCTTTGGAGATCATCTAGTCCAACCCCCTGCACCTAGAGCACGGGGCACAGGATTGCGTTTTATTGTAAACTGTTGCCTCTTCACATACATAGTCTTAGTAACACTGCAAATAAATATCAGTAGAGTAATAGATTTGAAAATGAATAAATAAAAATTTAAAAACTTAAACAGGAAATACCATTTTTATTATCTCTATAACTTTCAGTTTGGATATGGAAAAAATATTTCTTAGCATGGTACTAAACATACTAACAACACTTTTTTTTTTTTCTCTCCAAAATTAGATTAGGCTATTAGAACAAGAAAATGAACATTTGAATCAAACGGTAGCTTCCCTGAGACAACGTTCCCAAATCAGTGCTGAAGCAAGAGTAAAAGAAATTGAAAAAGAGAATAAAATTCTTCATGAGTCTATTAAGGAGACCAGTAGTAAGTTAAATAAGATTGAATTTGAAAAAAAACAAGTCAGGAAAGAACTGGAGCACTATAAGGAGAAAGGAGAAAGAGCAGAAGAACTTGAGAATGAGTTGCATCATCTGGAGAAAGAAAACGAATTATTACAGAAAAAAATCACCAATTTAAAAATTACTTGTGAGAAGATAGAGGCCTTAGAACAAGAAAACTCCAGTCTGGAAATGGAAAACAGAAAGCTGAAAAAAACTTTGGATAGTCTAAAAAATCTCACATTTCAATTAGAGTCCTTAGAAAAGGAGAATTCACAACTTGATGAAGAAAATTTAGAATTAAGAAGAACAATTGAGTCTTTGAAGTGTAGCAGCATTAAAGTGGCACAATTGCAACTAGAAAATAAAGAACTGGAAAGTGAAAAGGAGCAACTGAAAAAAAGCCTAGAACTCATGAAAGCCTCTTTTAAGAAAACTGAACGTTTAGAAGTCAGCTACCAAGGTCTAGACACAGAAAACCAAAGGCTACAGAAAGCTCTAGAAAACAGTAACAAGAAGATTCAGCAGTTAGAAAGTGAATTACAAGATTTAGAGTCTGAAAATCAGACTCTGCAAAAGAACTTAGAAGAATTTAAAATCTCTAGTAAGCGCCTAGAGCAGTTGGAAAAGGAAAATAAGTTGTTAGAACAAGAGACTTCCCAACTGGAGAAAGATAAGAAACAGCTAGAAAAGGAAAATAAAAGGCTTCGACAGCAAGCAGAGATTAAAGACAGTACTTTAGAAGAAAACAATATAAAAATTAGTAATCTGGAAAAGGAAAATAAATCTCTATTTAAAGAAATAGTTGTATATAAGGAGTCATGTATACGTCTGAAAGAACTGGAAAAGGAAAATAAAGAACTTGTGAAAAGAGCTACCATTGATAAGAAAACTCTTGTCACCTTACGAGAGGTAAGTAGAAATTAGTTCCTGTGTTTTGTCTTAATTTGTGATGTAGAGAAAGAGTGATGGGGGGGGAAGTTTGTAAATTGTATACCGTTAGCATCTTTAACGGATACACTAGGGGAAGAGTTATACCGTAGTCAAAAATAGTCAAAGAATAATCTCAGTAGCGAAATACAATGGTACTGTGTTTAAACCTCTAGAGCTGCTCGTAGAGTGTCATGGAGTTCAGATATGCCTTTATTAAATGAATATGGCACAGACTGAAACTTTCCCTCAACTAATGTTAAACCAGATTTGAAATGGAAGCTCTAGAAGAGAGCAAGCAACTGAGATGGAATTGTACGTGTAGTTAGAGTGTAACGTCTAATATAACTGGAAGCTGACGGTTGGAAGGGAGAAATAACATTAATGGGTAATTTGAGCTAGTAATGTAGCTAGTCATAAAGACAAGGCTAGGCACTTCTAGAATGATGACTGCATGACTCTGTATTATATTGCTAACTGTATTTTTTTGTATGTACAAGGATTTGGTGAATGAAAAACTGAAGGCCCAACAAATGAACAATGATCTAGAAAAACTTGCCCATGAACTCGAAAAAATAGGCTTAAATAAAGAGCGTCTTTTGCATGACGAACAGAGCAGTGATGACAGGTAAGAATGGACAAGGCAGGCATGGAGCAGCATAGAAATAGGTCTCAATCAGAATGGTAAAATGATTTTACAGACTTTTTTGTATGTGCTCTTAAGTGTATAGTAACAGTGATAGATTTGGAATGGTACTAGCTGCTCTTAAAAATGAATAAGGTAGTTAATATCTCCTTACATTCAGTCTGTGGAAGTGATTTCCTGTTTTTGTTGCTAAGAAGCCTCTTGAAGTCTGACAATAGTTATTCTTTATGTATAAATAAAATTTTTGATTTTTAGTTAGCAGCAGGAGAAATAGCAATAAAAGATAATAGGCCCAAGTGGGTTTTCTTGGCTTTTTTTGGCTACTTAACTGATAGAAATTTTGGATTTCTTATGCTTTTGATCTGTGAAAGGGTAGCTCAAACTCTCACACTGCTTAAGAATTACTTCCTTCTAATTTTTCTATCAAGAAACTCTGCTTACCTTGCCACTTAACACTGTCTGAGAAGTAACCAATGCTCAAGCTTCTCTGAAACTTCGTACTGTCTCCATCACTCTGCTACATCTGCCAGTATAAAGCAGCTGCTATCCTGACATCTGTTTCCTCTACTCTGTGTTGTGTTGTATGTTACCCTGAGGGGATTTAGGGAAAATGTGTGACAGGAAAACAGGGCTAGTATGGGCCTGGTGCCAGTTTTTTTTCTCATGATGCTATTCATTGTCATTAGTATTTTAAAAAAAAAAAAAAAAAAAGACAATCAATCATAATCACAGATCATGAATGTGTAACCTGATTTGGGGGCCTTCTGTATCAAAAAGAAACCAGATTATATTTTCTTCTTCAGTTTTCCATTCTTAATGCCAGTGCTCTGCTACTGGCACGGGGCCAGAATCCTGTGTGCAGAGTCGTTTGCCACCTCTTGTTTTCCACTTTCATCTGCATTTCCAGTGCACAGATGAGTTCCTCTGTCAAGAGATGTTCTCAGAACCTTGACTTCTGTAATTTCTGCTGAGTAAAAACTAGCAGTGTAGCATTCAGTGCGTAGTATGAGTTTGGGTTGTCCTCTGGTTAGAATACCATATAAAGAAGAATCAATCCTTGAGATGAAAGAGTTGAACCTTTCACCTCCTAGAAGAAGTCCTGATTGAGCAACAATGTTCTAAGTAGTGATTTCTAATACTAGAGATGAGTGTCCCTGCAAAAGAAAAATACTATCTTGCAAGTACACTTTGAGAAGTGACACTATGTGGAAAAGTTTATGAATCTACTTTTACTTTCCAGACAGTGGAAAAGACAGACATCCTTTAGAAGTGATCATATCTCTCTATAGATTCAGATATTGCAAGTTTGTGTCCCCTAGGTTAGCTTGTTTGGGTCACTGTATTAATTATGTCCTTGTGTTAAATGATACTAGTATTTTCCTTGCAATTTACAGAATGGTGTTATTGGATATATAAATTTCAGACAACAATTCGGACTTGTGTGTGTCTGTAGAATTCAGATTTTTATCCAAGTTTCACTGAATTATCTGTAAATGAGTTTTCAGCAGACTTCTGTCCCCTGTCATGACCTGTTCCGTTCCTTTCTTTGCTTCCAGGTTAGCGAAGTGGGGGAAGTACTCTCACAAAACAGTACTTTTCAGTCTTTTCTACCTCCTCTCCTTCCTGCTCTTCTACTTGATAATCCTTTTTTAAGGAGGCAGTGCAGATATTTTGCAGTGTATTTATTGCATATTAGAAGCACAGACCAAGGAGCAGGCTAAAGCAGTCTTATGCTTGTTGACTGGTGCTTGGCTTGGTGCACGTCTCCTGCTGGCCATAGATCCCTATATATAATTTGGTGCTGCTCAGCTGCAGTGGTGTGAGAGCAGCTTGTGCTCGGTTCTCTACAGGTGCACAACGAACAGACTGGGTGGCAATCTTGACTGTCTAGCCTTAATCATAGGAAAGCTCCTCAAAGGCAGATGGGTATTCGGTGGTGTGAGATTTTTGAGTATCAGGCAGGGTGCAGTGTGTCCATTCAAGGTGGTCTGGGAGGAGATGAAGCTTGATCTCCTTCCCAGAAGGAGAAGCTTCCCAGAACCTTTTCTGAAGCCTACCTCTGAGCTCAGGCCAATCGCCACATAGTTCATGCTTTGGAGGAACTTGGGCTACCCAACTGCTTTGAGCTTCTCAAACCAGAACGCAGACCCGTCCTTAATAACTACATGTTGAACTGGGGAATTGTGAATGGCACAATACCCGTTTTCAAAATGAAAAGGTTGGTTTATTTGAAACGATATACTTTTAACTGTCTTGCCTTTCTGTTACTCTCAGCTTCTTCCTCCATCCAAAAATTATCTAGTTTATTTGCTTTGTATTGTTATCTAGATAAGGCATTAGTATAGATCTCTAGAAAATTAGATTGATTATGACCAAAACTACTTTTCAGTGTATTTTCTGTCTGCATCTCTCATTTTTGGTGCAAGAAATTGAAGCTGCACAACTTCTCTCCCCCGACTGGAGAGTGCTTGTGTTTTTGTTAAGCATTCTTGGCAGCATTTCAAAATCTTTCTTTTGGGTCCTAAACTGACTACATGTTATGCAGTAGCCTTGAAGTTCTCCATTTTATGTTGTACCTTTAAAATGGTTGTTGAATTCTTTAAAAACAGAATCTATGGAATTGGATGCCCCAATCTGAAATACTCAATTTGTAACATGCTTCATTATGACGTATTGGAAAAGAAAATGGAGATTGGTCTCTGCTCTTAGTCTTTTTCTTTTTTTGGTGCATAATTGTATAACTTTCAGTGACAGAAACTTGCAGCTGAACGTATGCTTCAGCTCAAGAAGATAAAATGTTACATACTCATATATTGGCTATGGACTGCCTGTTCTTAAGTCTCTATTAATTTTGTCATACCACAGCATCTCATCCCACTATGAGATCTTTTTGGACAGCTTTTTACTAATAATTCTTCTACTCTTGATATTCTGCTCCAATTCCTGACAAGATCTAATGCTGTTGTCTGCTCAGGAATCTCTTGCCGTGTGATCTTTTTACAGAGCTGACAAATTCTTCAGTGGTCAGATGAAAAAGGGAATATTTATGATTTATTCTATTTTCGCCTATTCTGGAAAAGTGGAATGCTTTCCAGGTTCTGAACACATGTACAGTGACTGTGCCGTTTAAAAATGATTAATGACTGTTTCTTTCAGTATTTCCTAAAAAGGCTAATAGTTCTCTAGAATATCCTGCACTGACATTTCCAGAGGATGCTTTTCTAAACCCATATACTCTAATGTACTCTATATCTGACTGCTTCACTCCAAAAGAAGTGGTTTGGATTTTTGAGGGGCATTCTCTATAATATTGTAGATATGGTAAAATCTGGAAGCTTTATGAAACAGGATTGGTAGCAGTATTAAAATAGCAGCAGCTGGGCTGAGTGAGCATGAGCAATCCACACATTTATACATCAAACGAGTATGCACCTGCACAGTGCTGTGTCCCTTCTTCCCTAAGGCCTCTTGGTTGGGAGCAGGCAGGAAATGGGAACTGATGAAAATCTTGCTCTCCAAATACTTCACATCCGAATTTAGCTCAGGTCCCTGCTTGAGTGACTGGAGTGGATCCAGACGGACAAGTCCTGTGCAACCGCTCGCGCCCTGCGCCCTCCGCCACCCTTGCAAGGCAGCACCCTGCCTGCTGTTGTAGGCCTGATGTGGCGGCTCATGTGGCTTTTTGCATCTCTAACGTGTTTAATTCGTTTAGGTTTGAATAGTGCAACAGATGAAAATTAACATTTTGTTCAAATGTAAACTGATGTCTTCATCTGCATTTCATCTGAGACTCCTAAAGTTTTGTGGATGTTAATATTGAAGTGTCTTCATGCTTTTGAATAATAGTGAGTGTTCAGCCATTATTGGAATAACTAGGGAGAGCTACATGGCTACTGTTTTTTTGTAGCAGAAGGCTCACAGTCTAAAGTCAGTTTTCAAGTGACATATCAGCACATTTTAAAATTTAAATACCTAAAATAATTTTGGAAATACAAATGTTTATCTCTGTGTCATTTCATTGATCAGTAGGTACAAGCTGTTGGAATCAAAGTTAGAATCTACGCTGAAGAAGTCTCTTGAAATAAAAGAAGAAAAAATTGCTGCTTTGGAGGCTCGTTTAGAAGAATCAACGAATTTAAACCAGCAACTCCGTCAGGAACTTAAAACAGTAAGACAAAAGACATTTTTTATAAAAATTAAATTACCCACCTATAACAACACCAGCTGTTGTTATTTCTGTGCTTTGCTTGATACTTAGTGTAAGAAAGATGGGAAAACAGGCAGTGTTGGGGGGAAATGGCTGAAATGTTTCAAGAACAACGGCTGCGGAAGAGAGGAGGGAGGGAGGATCCAAGGGCGCTCAGCAGAGAGATGTGTGAGAGTCAGGGAGGTCAGAGCATCTGTGCTTCAAACGTGCTTGGCATGCAGTGTTAGATCAAGTCTGAAGAGAAGGAAATGAGAAGACCCCTTAGCTTTCTGAAATATAAAGCAGGGCAAAGGTGCAACCCATTTTTTTTTAAGACAGTAATAATACAGGGCAGGTGTTATGATCATATAAAACACTGCTGAGTCATTGGTCATTGAAGGTTTCAAGTGGATAAATAATTTATTTGAAGTATATTCGGGATGCCCAAAACACTAATTTCTCTGTAAATTGTGCTTGCTGATCTGGCTAGAAAAGCTCTCTGAGTTAATTAGAATAAATATTCTTATTTGTTCTATTTTATTGTAAAGTTGGGGGATAAACGTGAAAGCACTAAAATAAGGTAAAAAATGCTGGTCTCGTGTTTGTCATTCAGATTTTGAATCATATGTGTCAGTGTTTGTTATGGTTAAGCTATCAGTACCTATACACTGTTTGCATATCATCTCCCCAAATACATTATAAAAACACATGTATAAGTAAAATAACTCATATGATTTCCTGTTCTGTGAAAAGTAATATTGTCATGTAATAAAATGAGATGAATGAGTACAAAAACAAAACTTCTAGACCTAATGTAAGATGTCCTGAATAATTTCAGGTGAAAAAGAACTATGAAGCCCTCAAGCAAAGACAGGAAGAGGAAAGAATGGTTCAGAATTCTCCTCCAAGAAGCGGAGAAGAAAATCAGTCTGTGAATAAATGGGAGAAAGAAAATCAGGAAACTACTCGAGAATTATTGAAAGTTAAAGATAGATTAATTGAAGTAGAAAGAAATGTAAGATGTGTTTTTAATATTACTCTGATTTTAATTATTGGCTGTGATCTGTTCTAGAATGACTTATGAGAGTATGTTATTAAAAGTATGCAATTTAACACCTCGTTCATGGACTGAGCAGAACCTGAATTAAATGCAACTTCTGAAAGTGCTGGATTTTGCATGACAGATGCTGTAAAATTTTTGAGCAGCATTAAAAAAGCTTAGATTTGCCCTTCTGTCTCCAAAGATACTTAACAAATCCCTCTCGCATAACCCTTATTTATGCGAGTTTTGGAGATTTCTCTGTTTCTCCCTATGCACAATATTGGCTAACCTTTTTTAAAAAAATCTTGGCCTGTAATAATACCACTGTGTTGTTACTTTGTTTAAGGTGATTTACAGAATTGTACTGCCGTGTATATTTTTGTGAACCTGTCTTTAAATACCCTTCTTTATCCTGACACCTAAGTATAACGGCTTAGTTTGTCATGCTGCTTCGTTTGTTTTGGAGAACTCCTGTTTTCTTGAAAGTTAATGAAATGACTGGAAACTCAACATTTCCCCCCACTTTTTTTTTTTTTTTTTTTTTTAATAGAACGCTACACTCCATGCAGAGAAACAAGCACTGAAAACACAATTAAAGCAACTTGAGACACAGAACAGTAATTTGCAGGCTCAGATTCTTGCACTTCAAAGACAGACTGTTTCTTTACAGGAACAAAATACTACACTGCAAACTCAAAACGCCAAGCTTCAGGTAATACTTTCTTATTTTACTTTTAAAAATAATATGAATTCATTTTTTTTTCGAAGTGGATGTTTTAAAGCTAATAGTGATAGTCATAGTACAGACATGGAAATCAAAGCAATTCATGATCATCTGTACTAAGAGCAGTCAAATAATATTTTATGATTACAGACATAACAATAATCAATAACAACACTTCTAGAAGTTGGTTTTAATTCTTTGTATCTATCATATTTAAATACTTGAGTTTATACTGAGGAGCAGAGCAGATTTTCTTATTCAGTCTCCTATCCAGACCTCCTTGAATTGAGGTCATAGTAGTAAAGCGACTGTAAAATATTTCATATTTTTCTATTTTTATGGTTAGAAGTAAAAAACATAGAGGAAAATTAAGATGTTATTTAAGTGCAGATTTTTTTTTAAAAAAATGAAATCTTTGGAAAGTACATAAAAACACATATGATTATCATAAAAATGATTTAATTCAGATAATTTAAAGGCAAAAATGATGATGTGTGAGCATGGAAATTGCAAAGATAACTGCTCTCAAGGTCTCCTAGCCATTATGTTCAAAATGCAGGTGCCATCCTTTCTTTAACTGTGGTAGAAGGTATATGGGTCTGATAAGTGCTGTATTGTAGCTACTAGATCTGATACTTTTTGGAGTTCTGAGACTCAAAACTACTTAAGGAGAGAATACAAAGCCCACATGATGGAAAGGGGATAGAACACAGTGAGATGGAGTCTTTGAATGTGTGAACAAATAACGAATTTCCTGGATGCCTGAAATTATCATCCTGTCTCTTGCTGACAAGCAGAACCGAGTTATACCATGACTGCACATGAGATCTTTAACACTGAAATCTATTTAGTATACAGAAGTCCCCTTTGTGGCTGGCAAGTCTGTGAACCAAACAGAAGATTTGTGCACATACCATATCTCATCTTGTCTGATAGCTAAAAATGATTGAGCATAGGCATGGTAATAGGCTCACTGGTTTTAAACAGATGAGTGTGTATTTCTGGAATTTGGAAACATGTGAATTTTGAATTCTCATTTGCCAAGAAAAGCAGAAGTATCTACACAGTTCCTCATGCCTTGTGAACTGTACAGGCCTTGTGCACTGCACAATGGCACAGGCCTCTTCTATCAGATATGCCTAGGGGAATAAATGGGCTGTAGAGACTCGAAATTGAGACAGTGGAAGGTGAGACAGGGTTCCCTGTTTGTTTGCCGATTTGTGCTGAACCTTATCAAGCAGCGTGATTTTAGCTGCTGCGGACAACAGTCAGGATGCAGTTAGACCTGGCAGCTTTACCAAGGGGGTCTCTCCCTCCCTAAGAGTTCAGCTGTTCTGCTGTAACTTCAGGGAAGTTGCAAGTTATCTCTATAGCAAAACATGAACAAATCCCCATTATTGGGCTTTTAATTATTGCTCCTCTATACAGCATTATGCTGTAGTACTTTGGGGAACACTGAAATGATTCTTTCATCTTTGTGATGATGATTGTTGCTAAATAACTGCTGAGGTTGAAGGCAAAATGAGATAAAGTGAGAAATATTGTCTCATTTTTGTTAAAGGAGTCTGTTTAAAGAAGCCAGAAAATACAAGAGTACTTTGGACTTTCAGTAGGAGGAGTAAATCCAGTGTTAGCTGATGTTACAACGAAATTTTTCAAGTTGATGCTTCTATTTAGCAACTCCATTTTTGAAAGGGAACATTGTGAAATAAGGAATGTAAGCAAACTGCTCAAATCTGTTTTAAATTCCTGCTAACTGCAGAGCTTTTCCTCAGTTTGTATGGTTTTGTTTTTGTTTTTCCTCTCAGGAGGAGTTCAGTAGGGGACTGTTGAATACCTATGCTCTTACTGATTACCATCGTGGTGAAATTATACTGTTCTGTGTATCAGGTTTTCTCAAATTGATTACCCTGCTAACCAGGATCCCAAGCATTCCTAATTGACATGGATAGCTAGAGGCTTGTGCTCAGTAAGGCATATGGCCAATGACAGGCTCCAGGGGACTGGGAGCATTAGGGCTCCGTTATTTCTGTAACTACTGCAGCTCATTCGGAAACCTTCTCCTTCACAAAGGCTCTATCACTAACAGGCGTAGAAGTGGTACCCTGAATGGGAATTTAAGGACAGGACGTTATAATGCTCAGTTTCTGTAAGAGTTGGAGGCAAAGATGCAAACACAGGGTTACTTCAGCCATTTCTTCTTCTGTGATAGTTGCACACAGTCCTTCTGAATTTAACAAATGAAGGAAATCAAAATTGAAGGTGAAATGTGTTCATGAAAATAAGAATGATTAAATGTGACTGAATCAAAAACATAAACTGGTTTATGTAGACTATGCTAGACTATTTTTAAGCAAATGCAGAGAAAGGATGCCTTAAATGGTAGCTGCTAATTCTGCACTAAATTAAACTGGGTATTTGGTCTGAGAAGTTTCACAGCACATACTCGACATCAGACATTACTTCATTGCTAGTGAAAGGTTCGGCTTTATCATCCATGACAAAGACACTGCAGTTCCAACAGAAAAGAATTTGTTCCTTAGTAACAGCAGGCACTGGAGCACTAGGGTTTGTTTTAACCTTAACGGATACCCAGAGGCTATTAGAAGCCTCAGTATTTTGTGTTCTTCGTTTTTTGAATAGGAAAGAGGAGGAGAGTAGCCTAATGCAGGTCATATGAAAAGGACTTTATCCTAAATTGTTGAGCAAATGCAAGGATTGGATTATCTTATTCTTTTCAGAGACACACCAAGTAAAGCTTATAATGTATCTGTCAAATATCCAATTTTGATTTATTAATGGGCATTAAAACTGTACTAACATAAATTCGGGGGGAATTGTACACTTATGCAAGAATACTTTCAGTCAGCTCAGCTCTCACAACACATGCACAAAGCCAGCAAGCAATGTTATTGTTGGCAGAAGAGAGCTGTGAATGGCAGTTCCTCGGGGAAGAGAATACTGTGTAGTTCCTTTCAGGTGCTATTACTCTACTTCCTTCTCTCTGTTAAATGCAGGCTGTTGTTTGAAATCTCAGTTGTAATGGATCTTTGGGTACAACAAGGATTTTGTGGTGACAATATAGATTCTGTCCAATAAAGACTTTCAGAAAGAATCTCTGCCGACATGGAAGTTTCTTTTATTTTAGTCATTTTGCATGTTTACTTTATGTAATTAGAGGATCATTGCTGATGCATTTCTCCAATGTCATAGAGCTGTCAGGAAGGAGAGAAAATGCACCTCTCATCTGGATAGCGCTTAAGCAGATACATGAAAGTAAAGAATCAGTTGATATTCAGAGCACTGGAACAGGCTGCCCAGAGAGGTTGTGGAGTCTCCTTCTCTGGAGATCTTCAAAACCCACTTGGATACAGTCCTGTGCCACGTGCTTCAGGTGTCCCTGCGTATGCAGGGGGGTTGGACTAGATGATCTCTAGAGGTCCCTTCCAACCCTAAGCATTCTATGATTCTATGATTTTATGATATTCCCTCTTTTCTTGTGTTAACATGCTTAAGTGCTTTCTTGAAATATTACCATAAAAATATTCTTAAGGGTGTATGAATTGAAATAAAAACATATATTTAGGTATAAGAAAAAAATTTTGGTCTTGGATGATGGACAATGAAATAATTAGAGAGATGTTGAGTTGCTAAGAATGAAACAGTCCTGAAATCTTTCAGTAGAAAGAAATTCACTTGATGAATCTGTCAATGAAATTAATTTGCAACTCTTGTCAACTGTTTATGGCTGCAGGTTGAAAATTCCACCCTAAATTCACAGAGTACATCTCTTATGAATCAGAACGCACAACTGCTGATCCAGCAGTCGGCTTTAGAAAATGAAAATGAATCTGTACTCAAGGAGCGTGAGGATCTGAAATCATTGTATGATTCGCTTCTCAAAGATCATGAAAAACTGGAGCACCTGCATGAACGTCAGGCTTCTGAGTATGAATCTCTGATTGCAAAACACGGAAATCTTAAATCTGCACACAAAAATCTAGAGGTAGAGCATAAGGACTTAGAAGATCGGTAAGTATTAATATGTATAAAAATTATCAGGAAAAAAATCTCTATAAATAGTATGAATAAATTAATGTTAAATCTGATATGAAAGTGTTAAAATTTTGAAAAATCGATCTGTTCTAAAATCTGTATTCTTTTATAGTTTGCCTTCCCCCAGCCCCACCCAAAAAAAAAGCCAACTTAAATGAGCTATTTGTTGACAGGTACAACCTATTGCTAAAACAGAAAGTGCAAGTAGAAGAATTGGAGAAAGTACTTAAGGCAGAACAGGAGAAGATGCTGCAGCAAAATGAAAAACATGAAACTGTAGCAACAGAGTGTAAAAGACTTCGTGATGAAAATGACAGGTAAGGCAGAAGTCTGATACTTGTGTTAGTAGAGTCTTGTAGTTTCCTCTGAGGTAATGGGTACCTGCAGTTTTGGAAGTAGATCATTACTGGAGTCATTCTGTAAAGTCATGTAGATGAAAGTGTGTAAGGTTTGGCTTCCTTCATCCACAGTATCAAAACATAAACATGGGGATGCAATGCCTAAGTGCCTGGTGAAGCATCGCAGAATGTGCAAGATCTATGCGTTATAGAAACCCCTCTGTTTCTATGAAACAGGAAAAGCCAAAAGGAAAAAAAAAAAAAAGACAATTACAGTATCCTAAACTAAATACTGAATTCCACATGGCATTCAGAGGAATCCCAGGCCAAGTTCTGTGCAGAGTGGGTATGGGCTCTAGAGGGAGCAAGCTACTCTTTATGAAATTGCAGAGGGGCAGGATTAATGTCTAAGGTTAATGCCAGTAGGAATAGAAATGCAGTGTTGAAGGTAAAGACCTGTTTGACCCCTGCGCTTGAAATATAGCTTGCTTTTTGAGTACTCCAGCTGAAACTAGTGGGAATAATTATGTAGCATGATACTTTGAGCTTATCTCCCTCCCTCCCTATAGAAGAAGCATAAGAATTGATTTTAGGGTGAAGAGGTTCAAAATGAAATCTCTTAGCTCTGCAACTCTGTAAGGAGTGTTAGTTGGAACTGGGTGTTGTCACTAGAGAGGAAGGTGGTTGGTCCATGAAGGGCCAGTGGAGCACAAGAGTCTATATCCAGAGCCTCCATAGTTGCAAAGTTTGGATTATTGCCGTTTACTTCTTAGTCTGTGTTGGCAAGATATCTTAGCTGTTCAAGATTTTTAAAAGAACATCTTAAAATTAGTTGCTCTGTCCATCTGATTTTTTAAAACATTGAGAACACAAAATGTCTAATACTAATATACTTAAAAAGCAAAATGCAGACCTAGGAAAATTAGGTTTAAGACATTACCTATAGCATGTGATACTAAGAAGTGATTTTATGTGCTCTATGGGAAATCCAATCCAGCACTAGTAGCCTAAAGCTGTGCAATTGTCATCTTTCAGTGGAAATGTGGGTCATGAATACTTTTTTTTTTTTTCTTCTTCTTCTTTTCTTTTCTTTTTTATGCGTGTATTCTTTTATGGCATCTTTTCATTCCAGGCTTACTCATACATATACTCAGCTCTTGAGAGAGAATGAAGTTCTACAAACTGATCATAAGAATTTGAAAACATTGTTGAACAATTCCAAACTAGAACAAACACGGTTAGAAGCTGAATTTTCTAAACTCAAAGAGCAATACCAACAACTTGATATTACATTTACCAAACTGAATAATCAGTGTGAGGTATGTGAGAATTATACTATTTTTGACTGATGTTACTGAATTATTTCATAAAATCATGTAATGTTGGAAAGTTGCTCTGTTGCTTTAGATTTAATGAAGCAGATTTGAAGACGAATTTACTCGACATCTTCATTTTGCACATTTAGAGTTACTGTCAACAGAGGTTAAGAATATCATCTCTTCTGAATATAAGATTTTGTTCCAATTGATTGTAACTTTTATCTAATAGTTTCGTGGTAAGAGCTTTAGAAAAGTCATAATTATGAATGAGTACAGTCTAATTCAGTTAAGTAGTAACGTTATGAATACAAAAATTTAAAGCTCATCTCAAAAATGAAATGAAACTGCTCCCCCTTCCCCATTGCCATTGTTATCTGATGCATAATGATACAGGAAGCGTGAAATAAAGTAAAATTCCTAACTTCATATTTTAAATTTGAAACCAATGTGTTAGGCAGACAGTATTAAGCACTTAAAGTGTCAAAGAGGCTTTTATCAATTGAGTCATAATTTAGTTAAGTTTTTCATCTGAGCTGACTGTCCACATCCTTTTCAGATCTGCTCAAATTCTCTTAATCTCATTCATTGTCTGTGTGTCAGATGTGCTCACATACATATGCATGCAATGTTTCATGTGTTTTAACAGTTGCTAAGCCAGCTTAAGGGAAATCTGGAGGAGGAAAACAGACATTTACTAGACCAAATTCAGACATTAATGCTTCAGAATAGAACATTACTTGAGCAAAATATGGAAAGCAAGGATCTCTTCCATGTGGAACAAAGACAGTACATGTGAGTATTAAAAATAAAATTATAGTGTTTAGAGCTGTTAAGCTAATTTACATATATGTAAAAACAGCTTTTGTTTATATAGGAATGATGAATTCCTTACGAAAATTTTCTTCTTTTAAAGTTACATTGTATATGAAAAGCAAATAGTTAAAACTAGTAACAATATATTTTTAGTTATAAAGAATCAGTACCTCTGGATTCATGGTTGATGATATAAATGTCTAATGAAAAAAGGTTTGTCTTCATTCTGTTGAGGGGGAGAAAAAAAAAAAAAAAAGGGAAAAAGATCCTAGTTTTTTTGAGATTTATTATTTTGAGACCCTTATTTTTTTTCTCTCTCAGATTAAGTTTACAACTGTTCACTTAAACAATTACGTTACTGTATTTTTAATGAGACATGTATATAGGCTGTCTCTATTATATAATAACAGCCATTGAAAACTTTTGCAATTATATATCACTGTTCGTTGTAAGACTGGTATCTCTCTTGATTTTTCAGTAAGAAAGAAAAGTGTCATATAAAAATACCTCATAAAAAGGTCAACTTTTAGATATCTAGAAGAACATGCTTCTCACTTCATGTGTAAATTTTTGAACTGTGCATTTCTGTTTACAGTGATAAGCTAAATGAATTGAGACGACAGAAGGAGAAATTGGAGGAGAAGATCATGGATCAGTATAAATTTTATGAGCCATCCCCCCCAAGAAGGTACTACTGAATATGTTATAAACACATACTAAAAACATGAACTACCTATTCTGTTCCAGCTGAAAGTAAAGATTCCCTTTAACTTTAGGGGAACAGAATCATGTGTGTGTTCTTGCATACAAATTAAAGAAAAATGAAGACAAAAGTAGTAAATTATAAATGCAGTAAATATATTGCACTGTATTATTGGTAACAGAAGAGGCAACTGGATTACTCTGAAAATGAGGAAGCTGATAAAATCCAAGAAAGATGTTAACCGCGAGCGTTTGAAGTCTCTGACCCTCACCCCGACCCGCTCAGAATCCAGTGAAGGATTTCTCCAGCTGCCCCACCAGGACAGTCAGGACAGCTCCTCAGTGGGCTCAAACTCTCTTGAAGATGGCCAGACGCTGGGGACCAAAAAGAGTAGTAGTGAGTACTAAAAAACTTTTTTTTTCTGGACTCGTTAATGAAATGTCTTTCTAATTGTGATTAGAAAGCAAGGAGTGCTTAAAAAAGCCTAAATGTTTCAGATTTTTTTTGAAGATAATTTGAAAGTCTTTAGAAATTACCTGGAACTTATTTATTCTGAATGCAGACCCCATAAATGTTTGGGCAGATAATAGTTTTTAGCATTTCTGTAGCTCAAAATAAAAATTTTAAGATATATTTGCAGAATTTAAGAGAGGAATTTAGGAACTTGCCAGTGTTATTAGGACAGAAAACCAGAATTTTGGATAGGTCAGCTGCCAGCACTTGTCCTGTATGGTTCCTTATTCTTGTCCCAGTATGAATCCTTCCCTTATGCTTGAAAGTGCCTGTCCAAGATGTGGTTGTACTAGAAAGATCTGTTGTCTGAAAATTTTTTGTCCAGTGTCTCCCAAAATCTACAATAAAGATTTTTGGCAACATTTTAAAATGCAATAGGAAGTTTTACATAGAGACATAAGTTGTTTAAAAAAAAAAAAAAAAAGTGAATTGTTACTGATCCTAAGGAGAAAGTAAGATATCAAGACGGGGATGGACTGAGCGGTCCCGAGGTGAGGTTTGGATGACCCAAACGGTCCACTGAAATGGAACGAGTCTGGCAGCCCTGTGTTATTAGAATGCCTGCATTTGGAGAGGGCAGGTTCAGTGCAGTGTGTATGTGTGTATCTATTGCAAGGAATAATGAAAAAATAAATTTCTAGTAATTTTGGAGGTAGTGTTACAGTCAAATTATCAAGTTGTAATGATCCTGTTTATTAATTATGCACCAAGAGAGTTGGTTGCATGTTCAAAAGCATTAGTATACAGCATGTTAATGGAATATGTTCTAGGACATTAAAAAACCCTATCTTGCTAGGAGAAAAAAGAAAGCTGAATGAGAAAGTGAATGTGCTTGTCTTGAGCTAAATTATTCATCCATCTACGGACAATCACATTTATGCACATACATTTTAAAATCAATTAAATATAAGTTTCCGCAAACTCGGGAGCTCTGCTCCGGAGCTGCCTGGAAGCACCACAGGCCCTGAGTTGTTCCCACCAGTAGAAGTTACAGCACTTTTCCGTGGAGCTCTGTGAAGGTGGTTCAGTACGAGCTGTTAGTCGCCTTCATCCGTCCCACTGTATTTGGAGAGGTGACTCCTGAGAAATTTTGATCGTTTCTGATGGCCAAAGTACATCAAGATCAGAATGCTGAGAGACCGTTAACTTTCTCGGTAGAGTTACAGTTATACTCTGTTGGATGACTCTAGTAGTGAAGCTGTGTTTTTATTTAGTGCCTTCTTTTTCATTACCTTGCGCTATGTGTCAGAGATATATAAAGCAGTCTTAACTCATGGAATCCAAGTAGTGTGATTGGTTCGGCTTTACGCTGTCTAACTTCAGATGTTTCTTGAAGTCTGGTTTAGAAGCTCTGCCAGAATACATTCACTTGGTGCTCATTAGGTGGAGATAGGCATCTCCAAGGAAGCTTTGGGTTTTAGTTAGGCTAATTCACATTGTGCAGATTCAAATATCCTTGCAAGGAACCTGGGGCAACTGCACTCTAAAGCTAGCTGCATACAGCAGCTTCTAATTACTGGAGTAAATCAAGGCTTATGATTGAATTTCTCTGACTTTTCCTTTTTCATATCAGTAGTACATACTATCAGTAAGTAGATACTTTGCCCTAAATAGAGAGGCAAAATATAAATATATGTTTATTCTCTGATGAATAGATCAGAGATTCTTCTAAAGAAACCATATTGCAATGGATGATACATTACTCTTCCTTTTTGGCCTTAGTGGTTGATCCTCAGAAGAGATTTGAAGTTACTCAGCCCTTGTTATTTTTTACTCCAAGGGCCTTGTTCCTGCTCCCTTTAGTTCCCATGTGTGTATCTGCAAGCCGAAAGAGCTGATCTGATTCTGGATTCTAACCTTCCTTTACATATCACCATGGAAACCACAATTTTTGATAGGATTTCAATAGATTAGGTGCAAATTCAATGCTGACAATTTTGATGAGACAGTTTGCCTCTAAAGTTAACCAGAGACTATCTACAGGAAAGAAGCACCAGTAATGATGCACGTTTTGCAGTTGTCTTCTGCCTTTAGGATGACTAAATGCTACATGTTGAGATATGACTCCTTTCTTTTCTCCAGAAAGTGCCTTGGTGGTAGTGGCTTTCGCTGAAAGAAATTTCAAGATGTGCATGCTACCTCCTAGCTATGCAGAGGTTCGAATATTGTGGCTTTTCATGGTGGCCGAAGGGAATTGTACGTAAGGAGAGAGAACTCTGCCACACTAGGCTGTTCATTTTCTGTGTCTGTGGATGGAGGTGGTTACAGAGAGATTGTGTCTTTCAGAAGGCAAGAGAAAGCCCAGTTTCCTTCCTCCGTTCCTCGCTCTTGCCTCTTAATGCAGATCCTTTTGCATGGAAAAGTTGGAGAGACCTGTACTCCTAGCTGGACAGGGGTTCTTGTGACTTGATTTTTGTGCCGCCTTTCTGGGAGGTAAACAGTATCTGAGGTCATTTGCCTCCTTCTGACAGAACAGGTTTCTCAGTGCACAGATAGGGGTAGGGATGCCCTTGTCACCGGCCCATTGCTGTATTCCTGGAGTGCTTGGAGGCCTTGTTTGGTCCCAAATCCTGCAGGCAGTGTGGAGAGTGTGTGCACCTCTGTCTGACTGCAAAGTTTCACGCCTGCTTTTCACATCTGTGCGCAGTGTTTGGATCAGGTGAGTACTGTGAATCTGATGCCTGGCTTGTGTACAGCTGTTTTTTTCATTGAGGAGAGGGTCCTGTTTTGAGATTTGTAGAAAACACAAGATGGACAGCTAGTTTTGTTTTTCTATTTTCTCCTGTGGAGAAAAACCAATTCCATCATAGTGGAAGTAACAGAGATATATTAGGAGTTCATTGTGTACATTTAGAAGATGTCTTTTTTCTTTTTTCTTTCCTGTTCATTAACAGAAAGATTTGGGGATTTTAATAAAGCCATACAGAATTGCCAAGATTTCTTTCTGGCAAATGGCTAGTAGTTTTACAAAATGGGATTTCCTGATCAGTGGAAGGAATGTGCAATAATTGTGATCCATTCTTAGCCCAGAAAGCAAACATATTCTCAGAAGCATACTGATTCTAAGTTGAGTCCTTTTGAGTAATTGATTGCTCGAGGCCAAAATGGGCCTCCTGTTATCTGTGTTTTTTTAAAGTCTGTTGGCATTACAATGTAAAGAGCTATGGCTGACTAGGCTGAATTTCATGTTTCTGTTTTTTTTTCAGTTTTTTCTGCAGCTCAGTCATTACAGTGGTTTTGTTTGTTTGTTTTGGGTTTTTTGAAGGATGTTTCTTCCCATCCAAAAATTATTATGCAGTCTCTCAAGTAGGATGCCTTCTACTGAAGGACAGATTTTGATGCCACTTTATATCATGGACATCAGCACCTGCAGCTGTAGAAGTGTTAGGTACAGTGAACTGCATTAGGTGCAGCTGCTGAAGATCATAAATTAGTCCCTTTGGTGGTGATCTTTGCTGATGAACAAGAACTGGAGATGACCCAAATGATTCTTGATGCTTTTTCTGGTTATTTTTTTAACAAAATTAACATAGACTTTTTAGTTCAGAGAGCAATTATCTTGCCTATAAAATAATTTGACAGTTCACAAAAAACTGTTCCACTCTGCTTCTGTGAACCGTGGAACCGTGTTTCATGACAAATAGCAGTAGAAATAGAACAAAATTTCTTCCTTGCTTTATTGCAACTAGATAGAAAGCTAGTCTAATATTGTTCTGTGTATTTCTTTGTCTGGAAGCTATCCAAAGCTATATGCTGTTAAATACAGCTAGACAGACAATTTCCTTTATGGGAAGGCTAGGTGCCTCTCCATTTTGTTTTAGCTAGTTATCTATTTTTGTCTTATTTTCAGCTTATTTCTCAGGATCTACTAGAGGAGCAGTGTTTACTAAGTTGGAAGAAAACATTACAAAAAGCAGAATATTTTTAAGTACCTATAGGTAGAGAAAGAAATATTGTTAATTATGCAGTGAACAATTGAAAGATTAAAATGTTCTGTTGTGTGTGTGTCTGTGAATGTATGTGTATATATCTATACACACACACACACAGAGCACATGTGACTCTCTTTTCTGCCCATTCATACCAAGGTACTTGCAGTTGCTCCTTGATCTAGATACACTTGAGTTTTCGAATTTGGAAAATTTTACCTTTTCTTATGGCTCTTGGGACTGTGACCTGGCAGTTGCTTTTGGTTTCCCTGCCGTGCTCTGAGCGATGCTTTAGAGCTGCGTTACATTGGAGGAGATGGTTCTCCCCCCTTCTCCGGGAAGCAGGGAGCGCCGAAGCAGAGGTAGCTGCCTCAGGTGTGCGCACTCCAGGCTTTGGAGGTGATGGGGACAAAGATGTCCTGCACAGGACAAATGCCATCGTGCTTCACACAAGTGCTGCTACCCGGCAGGCATGAGCTGTGAAGCAGAGTAGCTGAAGCCAGTTCTAGAATAACAAGTCAGCATCAAAGATTTAATTTTTTTAAGAATTCTACTGAAAATAATAATTGTGGGAGACAGCAAGGAAATGAAAATAGTGTAAAACTTTCTATAAAAAGAATTACAAATATGTCTGAACTGTGCTGTGCCCATTGTAGCCTTTCATTGTACGTTTCCTGATTTTTCTTTATTAGAAATGGTCTTTTTGCCCTGTATTTGTAGTAGGGTGCAGTGTAGTAGGGCTCTAGTTTGACTTCAGATACTGGACTCCAAAGAACTTCCTAATGCACAAACACAGAATGCTGTGGTAGACAGGAATATTAATTTGTATCAGGGTAGTTGATGTACACTTGTAAAAGTGTACATGTGTGTATGTATACACACACACACACCTATATGCATGGCTGTAGAATATATAAACTGCTATATAATAAGCCATTGGTTGAGCAGAAAACCAAGGCAAATGACAAAGCAGCTGTTCCAGAAATGACTCTGAAGAGGTAGAGTTTGCATGCCTTTGGCTGATAGAGTGTGGAATACATTGCTTTCACTACTACATAATAGGGACATTTTAATATTTCATTATGCATTTATTGCTGAATCTTGCATCCTTTTTTTTTGCATGTAGCTCCTTATGCTTGGCAGTCAGCTGACACATCTATCTGATGCTTCATCAAGATGAAGGTGTCTGCCAGTAATCAGTTACTAATGCAGAATAGTTGAATATAAGGACAAGATTAATCCGTGATTTCCACCCCTCCCCTTTTAATACTATTTGTAATTTTAACTCTCTATTTCCTGATATTATGTACGTTTTTTTTTCTCTGCTTCCATCCAAAATGTTCCAACACCCTCATTTGGATTTTCTTTTGGTGTTTTTTGTTTGTTTGTTTTAATCTTTAGTATTCTTAAGTTAAATTGGTATATACCATTCCAACTAGTAAATATTTTTATTACAGCTTTGAAACGTATTAAAGAAATTAAACATTAAAATCATAAGTCATAAGCACAGTTGCTTGAACATAAGATCTGTATAATTTTAGTATAAAAAGATAGGTGGTAGAAATTGTTAATGCAATAAATAATCATAAAAGATTAGTTTGCCTATTACAGATTCAGGATTACAGGGGTTCAAGGGAAAAAACTACAAAACTCACTGACCTAATCTCAAAAAATAGCAGTAGTTGTTTTGCTTAACTCACAGATACTTCGCTTTTAAGCTTTTTTTGCTTCATGTTCTTTACAGTAAAGATGCTTTATAGTTTTTCAAAATCAATTTCTAAAATCAATTTCAAATCAATTTCTGTAAGAATCTGCAAAGAAGTTGCGTTGTTTTTTTTCAGGAACTTGGCAGTTAACATTTTTGAACTGTATTACACACTTCACCATCGGTTTTGGTGCATTTCTGAGTATATTGAAGTTTTCATAGTGTAGCTTTCATATTTCCATTGTCACACAAAAGCATGAGAATTATAGTATTTAGCATAGCATACATAGCTTAAACTCAGACATTCATTTCTGTCTTTAGTTTCAACATTTAACTTCCATCTGTTCTTCTCCCTTTTTTCTTTCATTTCCCTGTTTCCGTTTTTCCTCATGCTATGACATAAAAGTGGTTGCACTGAAAAGACTGCCCTTTTTGAGGAACAGACCGAAGGAAAAAGACAAAATGAAGGCCTTCTACCGTCGCTCCATGTGTAAGACTTTATGACAGTTCAGCTTCTTTTAAACGGCTACACTGGCTTCCATTACTAATTTTTCACTAACCTTTCCCTGGACTGCGCGCTTTTTTTTTCCTCCCACCAATTCTGCAATGTGCCAGTCCTGCTACAATACAAGGAGCTGGAGCTTTTTCTTTTTTCCCCCCACCCTTTTTTAACCTTGGCACTGAATAATCTATGTATGTGCACATGTGTGCATGCCGACCTTTACATGCACAGCAGACGCATGCATATACATACGTATATTCAGTGCATTTGATTGCATATATTTGTGTGCATATTTTCTATACACATGTGCCTATGTGTATGTAAATCTACAGTGCACTCTAATATAAATAGCTTTAAATTACACATTTCATAAGCCATCTGTTAAGCAATTACAACAATTTTTTGTTTAAAGAAAGGGTAGAAAAAGTAGTGCAAGGCTGTAAGGTGGTCTGTCACTCTTCAAGTATTCATCAGTTCTTGTGAAAATGTTGTATTGTCTTTTGTTTTCTTATGAGGGGTGGACTTCGTGAAGTAAAGGTGAATATCATCAGATGTCATGTTTTTCAGATCCTTTTATTTATTACTGTGCAAAATACAGTATCCCTGTACTGTATACAGTAACCTGCACTGCACAGGGTTCCTTATCATTGTTGACATTATATTGGATTAGCACTTCTGCCCATTTTATCCTTACTCATTCCATTTCATCATTGCAAAACAGCCTATCAAGGCTTTTAACATATAAATTGCATATCATTGCAGCACAAGCATGGCAGTTTACCTAATCAGTTCTAAGAACCATACTGAACTGAAAGAAGTCTCTGACTTACAGCACTTCCATTCATTGAGCTGATTGCATGTCATAACATGGATGAACTTGTGTTTGTATCTTGCAGTATGCAGTATGCTTTAATGCTTAGAAAACTGTCAAACATGCTACAATGCAAAATAAGAACAAAAGCAACTACACTGACCATGCTGATCATTTGCTTTCATTTGCATCCCAGCCATGAATGACCTGGTCCAATCCATGGTCCTAGCAGGAGGACAATGGACAGGTAGTTCTGAGCATCTGGAGGGTCCTGATGATATATCCACGGGTAAAAGGAGAAAAGAATTGGGAGCTATGGCCTTCTCTACTACAGCTATCAACTTTGCAACTGTCAACTCTTCTACAGGCTTCAGATCCAAGCAGTTGCTAAATAATAAAGGTATAGGTGGAAGCTTTCTGCACCGTGATGTGATTATGTGTAACAGCCATTTCATATATATTCTGTATTTTATGTGTGTTTTAATTTTTTTCAG